GTGAACAAATTATCTGGAGACCTTTCTGTAAAATATGTGGAATAAAACGTCTAGTGTTCCAAATGTGGTTACTTTGTGTATACGGGAAATGAACTGCAGTATGAATGTACTGCTTTGTTCTCTATTTAGAATTGCCTGAAAATGAAATTGTTTTAAAAAAATTAAAGTTTACAACATGTATGGTTAAACTTGTTGAACTGGTCCTTGCCTATTCATCTATGGGACTGAGTAAAGTTTTCCTATATTAGCCTTAAACATACATTTTTCCTATATTAGCCTTAAACATTGTTTAAAATTACATATTAATTCAATCTCTATTTACAGAGTTCAGCAGTACATCTATGAAGTAATTTCTATTGGGGAAAACGTGAAAATGAGATCCTCAAGACACCCTGGTAAGTTTTTTTTTTTCTGAAATTTGCGTTAAAGATTATTATTGAAGATAGAATCTCAATTCAGATGCTTGTCATTTCCCTTCAGATGAAATGTACTTTTAAATGATGGGATACTTGGAAGACTATTCTCTATCCACCAACACACTTGCAGTGTAAACCATATTTAAATGTATCACTCAAGCTTGAAAGACCTTTGAATTTTCAACAAAAGAGTTTTTTAAAAGGGTTAATCAGTATAAAGCTTAACATGGAAAGTTATGCATAGTAACTTGGAATGTCTACATATACGTTAGATTCATAGCAGCAGAAATTAATGGTTTTGTGACTTTTCGTGAGCATGATTTTATGGAGTAATTTTGTGATAGCACATGGTGGATAAGCCTGGCATGTGTGCCAGGAGACACGGTGACAGTTTCAACAGGAGTTCTTCATTGCACGAAGCAAATGCCTTGTGTGTTGCCCGTTTTAGAGGGAGAGTGACCTGGATCTCCTGCATTGTCATTAGTTGCCATTATTGGACTTTTGTCATCCTCTGTGATATGAAGATCGTGTTTGTGACACCTGGTACATAAAATAAGTAGTGATGATCCTTGAATGCTTTAAGTCGGACAACATTGCAATCACATACTATGAAGATTGGTTTGGGATCATCTTATGTTCTTGCTGGTGTACAGAAGATCTCTCCTTCATTCTTAACAGCATTGAGAATAGAATTACTTTACAGCAACTGCTCTACGTTACATGGATGTCTGTCATAAGCCATGTAATGATAGATCCTGAGCAATATCTATGGAGTTGTACATTGATTCATTCATCAGATGACTTATTGTACAGAACCTGGTGGATTCATCAGTTGGGAAGTGATGTTCCACCATTGACGTTTCTTCCCAAGTTGACCCATTGTTTATCTCTGGCATTCCAGGATGGGTTGGGATGGCAGATACACAAATACTTAGGGTCCCTGATCCTCTTAGGTGCTGCATTGTCGGAAGGCTGCTATGCCAGTACTAAGGTTATGCCTGATTCCCCGTGCATTTGGCACCCTAAAGATCATATTTATATCCTCAGTACTGACAATATCAGTGTGACAACGGACATTTGTCTATACACTTAAAAAGTTGAGAGGTTTTTATGAGAAGCAGTTCATTGAACACATTTAGTAATTTGTCCACGCATAAATGGCATACGGCACAATTTGATATGAACTGTAATGCATAAGTGGGCAATATATATTTAGCTATTTTTGAACTTGACTAAAGGGTTTTGAGAAGCCACCTTTTAAAGGTGCTATATAAAATAGCTTATTTTATTATTATAACTTGGCCACGAACATGAACACCTCATACTATTAAGTCATACCTGAGTATTTTGAGGGCTTTCTAATAGTCAGAAAGCTGCCCCCCCCATCTGCTTTATGATTGAGTTCTTGCATTAGTCGGACTTATTCAGACTTATTAAATTATTTTGAGATTGAGCCTTTGAAGGAAACTCCCATCCTTTAGTTGTGTATCCCACTCTCACCACCACTTGACAGTAACGGTCTTGGCTGAAGAGCTGTACCTTTGCTCTGGTTATTTCTCATCTTGATCAGGTTTCAGGGTTGCTATGCAAGTGTAAGGATTTAAACCTTATATAAAATGGTACAACAGCAACATTTTATGTATGTACTTAATCCTTTAAGAAATATTTTACTAAATCTTGTAGATTGAATTAGTCTCATGTCCTCAATACACATGAAGGGGAGATTATGCAATACTGGGTTAAAAACACTTCTCAAATTCATGTTTTCTTCTGAAAACGTAATTCTATAATCTTTGCATTCTACCGATTTTGTAGTTTTAGATCTGGACAACTAAAATTCTTTGATTCAAAAATGTAGGTTAGTAAAGCCTAAACCTGCATTCTCTCAATTAGATGTGTAGTCAGTTTAAATGAGACCCAGAAAGATCCATGAAGGAGCTTGATATTGATTTATAGAGTGGAAAATGACAGCATCTTGAATTGAGTTTGAATTGAATTTTTTAAATGTTTTGACTGATAAACTGTATGGATTTCAAAGGATTTTAGGATTGCCTTGAGGATTGCTACACTTTTGTGTGCATTTTGCATTTAAAAAATGTTTAAAATGTATTAATAGTACATGGAACTTGCAGAGAAAAGAAAGCCCTACCCTTACAGGGTTTTTATACTTTCTACATCTGTACAAATTATGTATTGATATTAAGTGTTTTAGCAGTCCTCAATAAGAGGTTCATCTTGGTTTGAAATAGGTAATTGATTTACATTTTGTGATTACAAAACATACCTTTTTTTGCTGATGCTGGGAAAACTGAGTGGGATTGTGTTTTTAGCTTCACTTAGTATGTTAAATTATAACTTAACTAATTGCTTATCTAAAGGTAACATTTTTTGTGAATGTATTGCTAATGTGTCCATTTAGCTTATAATGGTGGAACAGATTGCTTCACAATTCTTTAGAATTCTGGTTAATTTGGTATTAAGGACTATTCTGTTTTGTAAATCTTAGTCTGTAGCTGGGTATATTCAAAGTGCTTTTCCTGTGGGATAAGGTCAGAAATGGGTACCATTGCCAGTTAAGGTTTTGACTCATTGATGGTCCTAGATGACACCCATGGTGTATAAAAAAACAATTAAAATTGTGATCTACCTAGATTTGGGGGATTTGTTAGTTTTTCATAATACTTGGTTTTGGATTTGAAGAGTGCAGTTGTCTTTCAACTAATTTGCAAACATTAAAAATTGATATTTGTAAGTTATGTGGAAAGATTTTCAGGGCTGTTTGTGTTATTTTGTCAGAATTGACTTAAAGGTCTGTGGAATATGTTAGGATGTTTGCTGCATATCTATTATTATGTCCTTTTATGTGAAGGGTCTGCAAACATAAAGATTTATATAAGAACAGAACTGCTTTCTCACCTTTGGATTTCATACAGTTTTGTTTTTTGATTTTTTTTAATGTGGAGACTTCCAAGGTAAGGGTGCTACATTTGTTACTGCCATTTATGCCAGATTGTATAGGTTGTTTACATTTATTTCTTTCTAATTCCATTAAGACCCCATACAACTGAAGAGATTCAAGTGGAGACAGCTGGTTTGTCACCAAGATGGCGCCTCCTTTCTGTGATTTGGGATTACTGTGTCATTTGGGAAGGCTGATTCCTTGAACTAAAATGGACTTTATCCTTTCCTTTGCTTGGACTTTTTTTGAAAGAAAATTGACTTAATTGGAAACCAGTTTGAAAATACTTTGCATATGTTTTACCTTGACCTCAAATGTCTGCCCTGGAATAAATGTGCATGGCTATGATTGTACTACCTTGGATTTTCCCAAATTTGAACTGTGTATTTTTTTAAATTGTCAGTTATATATTTGGAGTGCTTATGGAGTTAAATAAAATTTTCAATTAATACTTGCATTTCTTTGGCATTTTTTTTGTGGTGCTCAGGTTGCTGATTATACATAAATGGGCATGTGTTACTTTTTAAAAGTTCTGTTTTTGCTTTTGATGTGCCTTAATGTGCCTTATTTGAACATGGTATATCAAGATCTAGCCTTTTAATTGAGTTGGGATACATTTGTGTGGTCTTTGGTTTAATTGGACATTGCAAAAATGGTGGGTTTTAATGGAAATGATCCTTTGGGTTTTCTCCCACCCTCCATGACATCTTTGGGGGAGGAATGGCTTCTGTTATTTAAAGGGTGTGGAAGACCTGGATGTCCCCAAGCCAGGACCTGGTTTAGAACATGAAACAATGAACTGGTCACCAAGCTGATCCTTGGCTTTGCTCAATTTTATTCTTGAATGGCACCATCCATTATGTACTATACAAAATCCTTGTGTGCTGAAAGTCTCCATTGACTCATGTTAAATTAACTTTATAAATTTAGTTGTGGTTTATTAAATCTGATGATCATCATATCCACTCCATTAAGATATTGAGCACCCTGTGCATTAGTAAGCTGATACTAAGTGTTGTGTAGTATTTGCAGAAGAATGCTAAATCCAATGGTGTTGAGTGGTCCAGTTAGAGTGCCATGGGGTCTCAGTGTTGTGAATGGACCCTGAATGTGTCCCCAAGACCCCCTTGGGTGTCTTTGTGTGTTGACCACCTACTGTTGCCCCAGTATTGGTTGGGGGGTGTCCTTTTGTTCCAAATGGGGATAATGTCCTTCAGAAACCACCCCTGTTTAAGGGAATTCCATGCACAAAATGTCCAGTTTCCCAAATGGTTAACCAAGCTGTTTTGTTTTTATTTTGCTCATTTCAATATGCCTCAAAAAGAATCCATACAAATTACAAAGCAATCAAATGCAAAGAGTTAAACCAGTTGTGAAGGTGATTGTAATGGTGTCCAAGCTCTTTTGTGTTGCTTTTATAAAATGGCTCCAGTTGGCTCATTTCCTGTCTGAACAGGAAGTTATGGCTGCCCCCGAGATTAAAATTTACCCAAATTTAGTCTTATTTAAAAAGTACCACTTCTTTTTACCTTCAAGGCATCTTGGTTTTCAGTGACCAGATGCTGGTGTGGGGTAAAAGTGGTAGTTGTGAGGAAAGACTTGTTTAAATTGGGTGTTTTTTGTATAAAATGAAAGGGGTGGGTCTTTGGTACATCACCTGAGTCCTGGGGTAAATGGAAAGAGCGTCAATCAAAGGCAGAGCTCTCAGAGCTGGGAAGGAGATCTAGATGGCGGCTGAGCCTTGGAGAGGAGAGCGCATTGAGAATCGCCGAGCCTCTCCAACACTTTGTGTAACTTTTAGCAACTTTTAGGCCGCCGCAGGGGCCATTGGGAGACTTTATTAGCGAATCTAGATCGCTTTCGAGTTGTTACATTTGTGATTTAGCAAAGCTTTTTTGTTTAATTTGTGTGGCTTTATCGAGAGGAGAATTACAGTACACTATGTGCGAGTCGTTGTTTTCCAGCTTAAGCACAGGCAGCCATGACGCACCACCATTTTTAGTGCGCTCTGCCTAGGGTGCTTCTACGCCTCTTTATTTAATTAATTTTCTTTTCCGATAGCATGTAATTTTTATTTTTGTTTTAAAAAAACATCCGTTAAGCGATATATGCTGAAAACTAAATATTTGCGTTTGCGGACCCCAGTTACGGAATAAAGAACTTCATTGACGAGTGGGAAGCAACACTGCAATCTACCTGTCTGTACATGGAATAGGTATGTATAGAATCACGCTTTTCATCTGTTATTTTTTGGTTTGTTTTTTAAAATGCATTTTTGAAACGTCTCCCCTTTTGTCTGATGACGCAGTTGTAATACATTGTGTAGACGTGCACGGGTTTTTTTTTGGGTAAAGAAATGGGGGGGGTGTTTTATATGGTGCCTAGTTGAGCAGGTGTCTTTTATTTACCTTTTCTTTTAACGTTTTAAAGGTTTTGTAGTTGTTTTTCGATATGCGATATGTTTTTCGAGACAGTGGTGTTCTTTTTCAGTCATGTCGTCGCAGCGTCAAGACTGCTGTCCTGCTGGCGAATGCACGCAAATGGAACTTAACAAGGGATCCTTACCCTTCTTTTAACTTTTGACAGTAAAATACCAGGACACGAGAGCATCAAAAACAAGTGTACAGGATATATAAAATGATGAAGAATAAGAACAGCAAGCGAGAAGACGACGGTTCGACCCAAAGTAATGCATCAAGGTACGATCTTTCATTTTTTTTCTCCATTTCTTTTGACATCTGCCTTGATTGTTTACGTTGTCAAGCCTGGATGCTCACCTGTGCCAATATATAGTGTTCGGTTTCTGTGATTAATTTAGGTTTTAGATAAATGACCTTGGGATTCTTAAATTGCCACACCCTAATTTTTGCTAGCAATTTCTTAAACTTAAGACTTGATTTTAGGGCCCATTTAAAGCATCGGGTACCCAAATGTATACTAACCCGATGAAGTCGTGTGGTTTTTTTGGGCGATTTCTTTCAGTATTTTTTCCGTTTGTGACAGCACAAAATGACCTTGTCTGTTTTGTCGTTGCTGCATTGCACCATTTTACATACAATGCAGTTTCCCATTTAAAACATTTTATTGGGACTTCATTTGTTTGTGTGTCTTAGAAAATATCAATTTTAGTATTTGATTGGGCTTTTATTTAACGACACGTAATACCGAATACCTAATAGTACTTGTTCATGTGTTTGACTGGCTCGCTTTGAAGCACGTTAAACTGTTGTGTATACATTTTTTTTGGGTGACAGATGGAAGAATAATCTGTATTAGTTTAAATAATTTGGCAATTTACACTTAAATAATCGGTTAATGGTTAAAATATATAGCATTGAAGATTGTTTGTAATGGACTAAACTAAAAGTATTAAAAGTAAATAAAATGAATTTAAAACGATGTTTGTTCACATTTTTTATTCTCTTTGCTCTGAGCCATTGTTTCACTTTCAACATGTGCACAGTTGATTGAGATGGTTTTAAAACGTGAAACAATGTTGATCTGTCTCTCTCTTTCAAAAACATTGCTTCCCAACCAAGCACTCAGCTCTTATAATTCTGTGACCAAAAAGTACATGATTGCTTATTGTCAAAATGTTGTGAAATGCTGCAACAAAAATATCAACAGTTTACGAATCTTAATGATTTTACGTCATGCAACTAGTTTCATTTTCTCAACCGTACCATAATGGTTTAAAATAATCAAAATGTTTTGTTTTCTAATTATATATGTGTACTTATGTAAGATTGCATCTACAGTGCACCTATACAGTTCTCTTATATTATGGATACATATAGTTGTTTCTTGTGACATGCTTTGCAAAAGTTGTTTTTGTGAAAGTGCAAGGTAGGTGCGTCTAAGTGTTTTTTCCCCTGGTCACAGTGTTGTCCCTTCAAGATGTATTTCCACTTGAAAGTTTGGACATTCTGGTATTTATGCTAGGTTACTTGAGGCTTCAGTTCTCAAACACCAGCAGAGTTTAGTGTAACACCTAGTATTAAATCAGGTTTCATAGCTTTTATTTTCATGTAAATGAAATGCACAACCACTTTACCTGCACACATTTGTCTTTGTAACTATCAAAAGTGATTTTTTGTGTGGCAGGCTTTGTGTAATTTAAACTAATTTAACTTCAATTTAAGAGACCTAAGGAATTCATTTTGTTTTCTGTTTACTTTGACACTTGTAGTACAATCAAATTAATTCTAAACTCATTTCTCACTATCCAGTTATTTTGTTTCATATTGGTGTAGGAGAGAACCCACTTTGAAGTCAGATATTTGGTGTTGAATGCATGTTTTTTTAGCAAATATAGGCAAAAGTTTTGAAACTACTATTGTTTTGAAGCTGTATTATTCTCCTAACTCAATGATACAAGAACCTCCTCTGCATTCACTGCTTTTAAAAACTACATTGATCAGCTTGTACAATGTGAACCATGCATTACTGCAAGGTATAGGAATTATTTCTCTCACTTGGTTGCATGTTAATATACAGCTTCTGTGAAGTATTTAAAAGCTGGTATTTAGTGTTTGCATTTTTAACAGGCACTACCTTAAGTTTGGGGAAAGCTGAGGTTTCAGAAGTCAAGAAGTCAAGTGAAGGGTTAAGGTTTCATTTTTATATGGTCCAATTCTATTGTGGCAGCCATTTTATAGGTGCTGACTGTTTAAAATAAAATAATGCCAGTTGTTCAATGCTTTTCCAACCACACACAGATCTCCCTTCACATAAGAGGTAAGGATGACCTCCCTCCTGGCAACAATGAACTGTTTTTTTGGTTGCCAGAGAAAGTAAGTGTTCGGTTTTGGTCCAAATGTGCATCTTTTTTCGCAATAGATTGCTGCACGTCCACTTCAAAGTCACAAAATGGCTCTTGCTTTGTGCCGCATAGCTAGGCAGACATGCTGCATTACACAGTGTGTACTTAGAACTACAGGAAGCTTGAACAGGATGTGGTTCAAAGGTCAGAAGTGTATGTTTTGAACAGAGATTGGTTAGCTGTGGGCATAGCAACACAACGGCCTATAGCAAATTCTGAATTGGAGGGATGTGCCCACCCTCCTGTTACGTCACTCATCCCATTGTGTGTAGCCTTTCCTGCTTTGTCAGCTAACGCAGCTACCCCTGCTGGTTGAAATGCCTTGCAAGAAATTAGAAATCCTTTGATGTTTTTCTTTTTTTAATTTTATAATGTTATTATTGTCTTTTAGATTTTGACCAACAAATGCACTATGAATGAACACAATTTTTAAAACATCTTAATCTTTAGAGACAACATTAAAGGCCTTGCTTTTCCTGCTAGTGTTTATTAAAACAATTCACAGACACTAGCACAAATATGTACTAGCGACCCTGGCTTTTATAATTATTTTTTCATTTCTTTTATGTACATTTTTCACGTTTAAAACCATGAACATTATTTTTTCATTATTATCACATTATTATTTCAACATTATTTTAAATCCCATTTACCAGTTTTTACTAAATTACTCAATGTGGAGTAGGAAATTGGGTGAACTGTTTAGGCAGTATCATGGTTATAATTTAGTTTTTTTTTATATAAAGAGGTTTTGAACACTTTTAAATTCCTTATGATCTAGTTTAATAAAATTAATATTTAATTAAGTTTAGTTAAAATAATTTTAAAAAGTAAATATATTTTGTGAAAATACTGTGACAACTGGTTTGCAAAACCTGTTGCACAGCTGGTAATGTTGGATTCCTCAGCAGATATGTCATGTTTAGTCAGCTGTTCCCTGTTTGACCATTTAAGGCCTTGAAAATGGAGAAGCAATTTGGTGGGATTGAGGGGCACTGTTTCAGAAAGGGTAAACAGAATAGCAGTGTCTCTTTAGAAACATGCAAATACATCACAGAAACACCACAGCTGTTAAAAAAAGATAAATGTTCTGGTTTTGGAGGCTTCATTTTAGTTAGAAAAGAAAGTAGTTTCCCGATGCACTGAAAATGCAAATATCTAAAATCGCTACCTATAGTCCTAAATGTCAACAGTGCCCCTTAATGGAAGATATCAGGTGAGTATTGAGAAATTGTATTGCCTCATTTGTGGGCGAGGAGAGCAGTATTTTGAAAATATTTTTTGAAGTAATACAACAAACGACGTGGTGTGTTGAAACATGAACATCCCCGATTATGCGTGGTAGCAGAACTATGTGCTCACTTCCTGTTTCCAGAGAAAAATCCCAAGACGGACGCCTGTAGAGTATGGTTGTGCACACTGTCACTCCCCGGAAAGAGGCTTTGTAAATGCTGTTATTTCTTTGTGAGGGAGAAAGCGTAACAGTGTGCCTTTGCTCTAGATGGTGAGTAATGTGAGGGATGAAGACTTTACCTGACAGTGTACTCGCTTTTTTGCAGAGACAGTGCACCATCTGTCCCACATTTGAAACATTATCCTACATTTGTTCTTGTGCCATTTGTTGTTAATAAAGAGCGAAGCCTCAAATCAAGGACTGCTAGAATATATAATAATATATTGAAAATGTATTTAATAATATATTAGCTTCTTTAGCATATCGCTTCTCAAACATATGGGGTGGTGGGGTTGTGTGGTGGCTCTGTGGCTAAGGATCTGCACCTGTGGCTGGAAGGTTGCCGGTTCATTTCCTGCAGCCGGCAGAGGAATCCTACTCCGTTGGGCCCCTGAGCAAGGCCCTTAACCCCAACTGCTTTAGGAGTGCCGTATACAGTAAATGGTTGACTCTGCTCTCTGACCCCAAGCTTCCTGTCTGTGTCTCATGGAGAGCAAGTTGGGAAAAAGACAAATTCCTAATACAAGAAATTGTATATGGCCAATAAAGTGTGATCTTATCTTGTATACCTCTGACAAAGCTGATTGATTTTTGCAGATATAAGAAGGAGACATGACTGTTTCAAATGGCAGGTTAAATGTGATCAGATGTAACATTACATACCAGATGTAAATGGTCAGCAGTCTGCCTTATGGTTGATCCTATCTTAAAGCTGAAACTGTTGAGTATCATGGTTAAGCAACTGTTAACCTTTAGGTGATAAGTACCATGCAACACATTGCTCTTCACAAAGTTCTTCAGTTAATGGAATTTGTAGAATCTTCTTAAAGCTGACATTATTTAGTAATTTGTAAAACCAGTCTGCCCAAGACCACAAACAGCATTTAGAATGTCAGATGTTTTTTTAATTCTTAACCACAATGAGTAATCAAAAAGAAATGTCTTGTTTTCGACAAGTCATCTTTAAGGAATACTTGCCTGTTTTTCCCTTGATAAGGTATTTTTCTGAAATGTTATAGGAACCTGGAACCACTCTGGAACTCATTGTTGTTTTGCATGTTAAGTGGATAAGTTAACAGGATTTTCCACATGCCTGCTGTTGTTTGTAGCTTAAATTATTACTTTTATATTAATATGTATTTAGTCTTAGCTTTTTTCAAGCCACGATTGTTACTATCACAGCGCATAAGAACAAAAAAGTGTATCAATGACAGGAGGCCTTCCAGTCTATTTGTTTTGTTTGCTCATAGCTAATTGATCCTAGAATCTCACCCAGCTGTGTTTTGAAGGAAGGCAGGCTGTTGGCTTGTCTCACTCTCAGTACCCTTTGTGTAAGTGCCTCCTGGTCTCGGTTTATAATGCATCTCCCCTTCCTTTCCCTTCCTGTCCCTGAGTTTGTGCTTTACTGCAGATGCATGTATCTTTTTTTCACAAGGCAACGTAGGTCATCACACACATTTGAGGTCTAATCAGTCCTACTGGGTGAATATTTTCCACATTGTGCAAGTAAACTACGCCTCGAAGGTATATTTTCCACATTGTGCGAACTACCTATACCTTGGGGGTATGGGTAACCTGCCCATCTCACCTTAAAACGATTTCAAGTAAAGTTAACGTCCATTTTGAGTGAAACAGTATTGCAGTCTTAGCTGTGCTATGCTCATTGATCATGGATTTGAAGGCACAATGTAGATGGGAGAGCTAAATAATTAAACCATGTTACAATTGGTGTCTATCAATGTATAGATCATGAACCTGTAACTTAAAGTGCACTTGTAAGACCTCTTTTAGTATTCAGAATGTAAAAAAAATTTTTAAGCCATTAAATTTAGAAGTGCATTACAGATGTTGTCTGCTGGACATTTCTCTGTGGCCTTGTTAGTTTGAATGCCAAGGTTTTGCGATCTTTGCTGTTTATTTATAATATTGGTTCACAAAACAAATCATGAACTTCAGATAGTCTTTTAAAATATAATAAAAATACCAGGATTTTTTCTTAGAAACAGGGACCTGTAGATCTAGTTAATTAGGTTAAACATTTACTATTTGTGTAGTGAATTGATCTCTTGAGAGGTTAACTGGGAAAAAAACAGTTTTCTCTCCTAGGAGTCTTGTACTGCTCCAACAAGACCAGTCAAAAAAGAAATTTCAGATCTAAAACATGCCATGAGAAGACATTAATAATTTATTTGATCATTTAATGGAGATAAGCTGATTACTTATTGAGCATGGTTAGATATAGTAGTGTACTGTTTCATTAACTGTGTAAGCAAATTTTAGATTCAATTTCTAGGTATGTACATTTTACAGACTGCCCTATGATATTAACATTTCACCAGTTATGCTATTAAGATTGGGTCGCTTGTTCTCTCTTTATGAACCTAAAGAAGAATTAGACGTTTCATGATTATCCCAGAAGTTGTGCACTGTAATACTCCACTGGGACTATTTAGTAGTTGGAGTAAATGGGGTCTCTGTAAGAGCTTAATTTTGTAAACTTTTGTAGAACACTTGCTTCTGGAGAAGAAAAAAATGTGTAAAATAGGCTGATTTTCTTTTGAAAGACTTGCCAGGTCTTCAAAAAGCGTTTAGAAAATACACTTTCTCGTTTGTGAGGTGGATATGGAGGCCAGCATCTGATACCATCACCCCCATGTGTTGCTCTGTCATTGTTTTTGCTGATGGCGGAGATTTGCTTTGGCACTGTGGTTTTGTGGATGGTGCAAGGCATTTTAAGATGGTGGAGTAAAGAGGCCTAAAATGGTTGACAAATGTGGCAGATTCCCAAGTATAAGGAAAATCCTGGAAGGCTTTTCAACTCCCAGATGAGCGGTGTTGCTGCCCCCTGTCTGCAGAAAACATGATATTTAAACAGGGAGAGACATTTTTATTTGTAAAAGTTTCTTAAGAATGATTGGAAATGGAATTAAGGTTTAGGTAGTCTTTTAAAATATTTTTCGTTGAAAGACCCGCAATTATGTAATTTTTGGATGGTGAAGATGCTAAATATGTTTGTGGACTTACCCCTTTGTGTACTGACTTTCGATCTGAATGGGCTCAGGCTTAGAAAAGCCTCACAGATAGTGAACCTGTGCTTACATTAAAGATACTGTAGTTTTTTCTGGAGCAGTATTTTTAGTAAAACTTTTTTTCTCCTGTTTTTGGAAACATTTCCTGCTCTCCAACTAAGAATGGAGAAAGATTCGGCAAATCAGGTCAGGTGGTTCCTGCAGATGTGTTGCGCAGTAAGGGCAAGACCCTCTTCAGCAGCAGCTGTCCTTGCCTTCATCCTTTCCCACCACGCTCTCTGTTCCTCCTGATACCCCTTGCCCCTTGCCTGAGCAACACAAGTGCTTAAAAAATGGAGTATGTCTAAAATGCAGGTCGATTCCAGGAGGATTCACTTTTCTATTTGGGACAGACCACCTCAACAAAGCCCAGCTTGAGTACATCAGCTACTAAAGGCTTTTAAACAAGGCTTTTGAAATAGAGAAGACACTGGGACGCATTAGGGTGTCTGCCTGAAGTAAGCAAGCAAGAGTGTGAATGTTGTGGACAAATGCGTACTGGGGAAAAGAGTACAGTAAAACTATTGTAGTGCTCACATCTAGGTTTTCTTTGCCTTTGTTGATTAGCAGTCATGTGCTTGTGATAAGGATTCCCCAGACTATCAGCTATACTTGCCTCACTTACGCACCAGTGAAGCCAGTGAAAAAAGAATTTAAATGTGATGCACATTTGTGCGATTCTGGTTCTCTCTGCAGGATAAAGAGCTGCCAAAAACACTCGGCGCAGCTTGAAGGCGTATGTTTTTTTTTTTCCCCACAAGAAAAGTGTATCCATCTTGCTCATGACAGTTAGAATCGTATGAGGGTTTAACATCACGTTCGTTTGACCTTGTAGCAACTCCGCTTCTGAGGAATCGAACCACTCGGCCTCGGAGTCGGGCAGTCAGTCCGAGAGCGAGCGGGGCAGCGAGCGGGGCAGCGACTCCAACAGCAGCTCCGAGTCCGAGAGCCAGTCCGAGTCCGAGAGCGAATCGACGGGATCCAAATCCCAGCAGGCCACCTCCGAGGTCAAGGATAAGCCTGTCAGCAGGAAGGACAGATTAGCCGATGTCAAGAAGGTACCTGGTTATTGTAGCCCTGCTCAAACGCCAGCCATCCTGTGAGCTGCCAGTTAAAAGCACATGAGCCATCCCGAGCACTTCTGTTCCACACAGAGGCAGGGGGGTGTGTAAACCCCCCCGTTACCTGAACAGAGCTGTTCTAGTGCGGAAAACCACATCTTCAGGAGTTTCCAAAACGGTCATTTTGAGTGAGTTGCATGCTCTGAAAAGAGCGGTTCAGTAGCACATCCCTGCATCTCTTCCAAAATATTTAACGGACAGCATATTGCAAATACTTTGAAGACATTTCAACGTAGAACTTTGCGCTATGTACCCTCCCTCCTTTATAGTACAAAAATCCAAATGAATGTTGGATACAAAAAGTTATCCCTTTTGCCACAAATTTTAATCTTTTTAATTGAAAATGTATAGGATACAAATGGAGAGAATAAATTAGTGGGAGGGCAGCAGGCCATCTTATGGTCTGTTTATGTTTACAGATGTGGGAAGAACATCCAGATGTTTATGGGGTCAGGAGATCGAACCGGAGCAGACAAGAGCCTGCTCGACTTAATTTTGGAGCTGAGGTAAGCTGGGAGAAACTGCACTCAGGGCAGCCAAAAATTAGCCCCATATGATAAAAGAAAAGGCTTAAAAATGACCCAGGTTATTGTGGCTGTTTGGCTTCTAATTTGTAGCATTAAAGAAGTATTAAACGTGACGCACATATGAAAACATAAACAAATCAGTAATAAAGTTCTACCTTGAAATCCCAGTATGAACTGATAAATTGACACTTAACTCACTTGATTTTATTTTTTACCCCATACCTTTTTGTGGTATTCCAAAAAGAAAATGGCTTAGTATGTCATTTTTACTTAAGATATGGTGTTTTGTCGTGCTGGATGGAAGTTAATAAAGGATGAAATACACGCACAGGTTGCAAAAGAAAACGATGCATTCTCTTGTGGTCTTTGAAAGGCATTGCAGTGGGGAAAGACGATGGTCATTAGAGAATATTTGGAGTTCTTTCCAAGTTTGTTCTCGGGAGGTGATAGAGGAAACTGTTTTATTTGTTTTGTTATTGAATAACGTAAGGCACATCTGACAAGTTTTGCACACTGACACATTGGTAAGAAAGATTACAAATGAGAGGAAGCCATTGGGCTCTTGTGGTAGTAGTAGATTGATCCAAAGATCTCTTCTGACAGCAGCCAGTCACTTGGCTTGAACATCATGGGAGAGTAGCTTGTTCCATACTCCTAAACCCATCAGTGCCTTCTGTTTTTTCATTCCTATGTAAATGTAACATTATTTGGACAAAATGGTGTGCCTTTTTATCACCATACAGTATATTTATAATGGATGGATTACAAGAATGCCTGTATGACGGTTCAGATGTGTGTGTGTTATTGTGCTTGTACCTATTTTTGCAGCTATTGTTGCCTTTAAGAAGGGGTATTTCATAAGTGGCATTTGTTTTGATTTTTCCAGCTTTTAATGATCGTGCATTTGAAAAAAAATGTGTGCGTTTTTCTTAAATAGTGCATTCTCTGTTTAATGATTCTGCAGGGTAGCAGTGAATCTGAAAATGAAAGTGGTAAAAGAAAAGGACTGCGGCAGACGAAGAAAGAGTGAGTATGCTAGGAGTAAAGAACTAAAGATGTAATAAAAAAAGTATTTGTGAGCGCTTTTCAAAAACAGTGCTGGATTAAAACTTGCACACCTTTTTGAAGTTTTGATTTATGTGATGAATTACGAAAACTCAAAACCACTTTTATTTATTTGCTGGACAGATAGATGTCCATAAAAGATGTAATGGAAAATTATCCTGTTTTCACTAAACAAGTTTGAAATCATTACAATTATTTGAAAACATGCTAGAGAATTCTTAGTGCTTCTCGTTAGAAGTCGGAGCCTTCTTTTGTTACATTAAAGTACATTCCAAAAGTATCACATTTTTCTTAATCCATCCACCTAGCATACATTACTAAAATCAACCATTCTTAAACAGAATATTATAATTGTACTTTATGAATCCAGTATCATTTCATTTTTTGTTGTTCCCTTTGAAGAATAAATGAGGCAGTTCACAGAGTTGGGATCTTGTCGGGTGCCATTCGTTTTAGTTTGATGGATGGTTTGCAGCTGTAAGCTCTTAAAAGAATTCCTACAGTAATATATTTGTATAGAAAGTGGAGCAATATGCATTGTTACTTCATATTTATTCTAGAATAAATGTATACGTTGAACTGCCATATCTCACGTCTTGTACACAGCTGATAAAAGTGCAGTATGGAAGATCCATCATTGCAAGTGGGAGAACAGGAGATGCTTTATCACGAAAGAGAAAGTTTGTGGATTCTTCGACACAAAGTCGAAAGGCTGATTTACGTAGGCACAGGCAACACAGTGCAGAAGAGCTCTCTCCAGCTCTGCCTTTGCCAGAGATGTAGTTCTGTTGTGTGTCTCTGACATCGTCTTGTTCCGAATGTTTGCATGAATTCTCTTGTTAAGGAGGAGGAAGAGATGTCAAGGAAGCAAGTCCAGCAAGCGGTTGAGAGTGATAAGTGGAGTAGCTTCCCTCCTCTGATCTGAGTCATTATAAATGCTGGAGTCAAAGAGACAGTGTGGGGCAAGTGATGGTGACGACCCCGAAACATCTGCACTGTGCCCTGGAAGGGGCAGGTTAGAGTGATCAGGCTTTTTTAAAGGGGTGAAACTGTGGTATTTCTTTGTTGAAAGAAATACCTGGAAAGATGATGACTCTAATGACGAAGAAGATGATGATGATGATGGTGGTGATGATGATGATGATGATGAGGAGGAGGTGGATTCCAGCAGTTCAGAGAGTGAGCAGGAAGAGAAAAAAGTTAGATCCAGACGCCCACCAGCCAGAAGGTAAGGGTGTAGCGAGGCCTGGCCTTTAGACAGCTCGGCACTTTTCACACTCTGAAGGAGCAGGCGTGAGAGGATGTTTCATTCCTTCCCAAAAACAAGAGCTACTGAGGTGATATAATTCACCCATCACAAAATAAACAGTAGTCAATAAAGGTCTCAAACATTACCTTGGTTTTTTGCAGTACACCTGATGCTTTGTGAAACACTTTTTAGTTAGTATTTATGGTATTAAAATTTGTTGTAAAATTGTTGTAAAACAGTGCAGAATCCCAAGGTAAGCAATAAAGTAGTTTTCTCTATTTTTGACATTTGTTAAGACTTAAATTAATATCCTGTAGAAGATTTCTGATTCATCTTTTATCGTAAAATGTTTGCAGGCTTAACTCTGCAATGGACATTGGTTCAATATATAAGTACTAAATTACAACTAGAAGAAGCTAAAAGCTGTCTTAAGGCCACTTACTATCAGGCAGGAAGTTTAGAACGTGGTCATAATGTATTGTCTTGCTTGATTTAGAACTCCGAAAATGAGACATTACTGAACCATACAGAATACTTGAAGGGTGGAAATGTTTTTTTGCCCGCCTTTCTTTCTTTAGATCACAGACCAGGACCTCAGCCAAAAAGCAACAGTCCCAGCGGGGCAAGAAACGAAAGAAACAGGAGTCGTCCGATGAAGATGAGGAGGAGGAGGAGGACGACGACACCCCCAAGAGACAAACACGACGGCAGGCAGCCAAAAACGTCAGGTGGGCAGAAGTATTTCTGATGAGCCGTTGTGGGGCTTTGTGTCTTCGCCGTCCCAGGTGTGCAGTAGACCCTGAGAGGACGTTATCAAGTTGTGCTGTGAGATATGTTGGAACGATGTGATGCTTCTCAAGGAGCTTGTGTCACTCGTGATCCCTGTGCTGCCCGGTCCCCAGTACAGCATCAGGATGTTTCTTCTCACAGCTACAAGGAGGACGAGGATGACTTTGAGACTGACTCCGATGACCTGATTGAAATGGCTGGGGAGGGAGCAGAAGAGCAGCCGGATGACAGCGAGACCATTGAAAAAGTCATGGATGTCAGAACTGGAAAAAAAGGAGGTATTGATACCTGTAACAAACAGCATCCCGGTTATTTTGGAAGGTACTGATGGCTGATAGGCCATTTATGAATGTATGGTTGTATTTTTTTAGAACATATAATTAAGGGTTAGGTGTATGATTTTTTTCTGGCAGGTAACCTTGTAAGGATAAGTGGCACGAAATGTAGTGTTTTCTCATAATTCCCCCCCGTAGTAGCAAAACACTTTGAACTCAGGCCCGGTTAAGAGGAAAGATATCTATATGTAATATTGAATCTATAAACCTGGTCATGATTTCTTTGTCATAGGAAGGTAAATTTGATATAAGCAACTGCTTATGTGTTCTAATAGTGTAGATATCATCAAAGTGCAACAACTCAGTAAGATGATGTTTTTCCCCTGTTAACCCCTTCATGCAGTCACGGGTGCCTCAACGACAGTATATGCCGTGGAGGCGAACGGAAATCCATGTGCAGACTTCGACCTGGAGAAGGATGAGGGCGAAACTCAGTATCTCATTAAGTGGAAAGGCTGGTCCTACATCCACAACACCTGGGAGAGCATAGACTCGCTCACACAGCAGAAAGTTAAGGGCCTGAAGAAGCTGGAAAACTTCAAAAAAAAGAATGAAGAAATAAACTATTGGTATGTTGTTATTGTATGTCTTTGGACCATTCATATGTGCACACAGAAAAATGAAATGCCTGTGCTTGTCAGAAATTGTGGTTGACAAGTGCAAAGTATAGGCACTACCAGGGTTCATAACACTTAAAAACACATTCGACTTCATCTGACAACATGGTAAATTAAACAATTCCAGTTTGCTTAAATGTATATGGTGGCATATACTTAAGTGGAAACTACTTACAGCCACGCAATGGTTCCTTCGATAACTACCACTGTTTATAGTCCCTTTGAGTTTTTATTTATAGGGTCTTATTTCATCAATATCTTTTTCAGTTTATTGTAGAATACATTGTATTCATTATAGGAAAATATTATGTTCATGTTAGATGAGCAGAGGGGCATAGAATAGGGTAGGAGTATAAAATGGTAAACATTGACATGGCTTCAAAGTGAAAAGTGGCGTCTGTAAAATTTGACTTGGAAAACAGTCTCCAGAGCCAAACTCTTAGGTAAGAAGAAGAGTGTGTTGTGACATGGTGGATATTCTGCTTTAGCAAAAAGTCTATTAGAACGGTTCCCTCCTCTGATTAGAATTGGAAATTACATCTGTTTTAGTCCAGTACATATATTGCAGAATACAATTCTTCTGACAAATACTAGTTCCTTCTTAACTCTGCTTGCAGATCACATTAGCACATTTCTAAGGTGGAATGTCCCCTGCACAACCTGTACTTATTCGCTCGTACGTCCCATTACATTACTACAGTGACTTGTGAGCAGGAAGGTCTGCATCATGTCACAATTCTCGCAGACCTTTGACAACATATCAACTATACAGTGCTTTCACAAAGTTCACGGTTTTGTGTTTGGTTCTGAATTTGTAAAATTTTGAAATACCGACAATTAAGTTAGTTACCGAGATTTAATAACCCGTCTGAGAATTGGGTCTGCAGTTCCCACTTTAATTGTTGAAAGACTTTAATTTGCAGTTGCTTGTTGTTCTCACTTATGTTGGACCGACAAAACAACGGAGTTGGACAAGAGCCCGTACTGCACCCTTCACCCCTATGAAGGCTGACAGTTTGGGAGATTTGCTTTTCGTTATTCATACAAACATCCTTAACATAAAACACTGGATGTGTTACCGCAGTACCTTGTGTTTTATTAGAAGTGGCTGAGATCTCCCTGATATCTGTTTGTATTATGATTCTTTTTCAGGTTGTCCAAAGCTAGCCCAGAAGATGTGGAGTATTATAACTGCCAGCAGGAGCTGACTACAGACTTGAATAAGCAGTTCCAAATAGTGGAGCGAGTAATCGGTAAGGGGTGGAAGAAGCGTGAAGGGGTCTATAATGTATGGCACCTTACAGAAGGTCACTATTTAGTCATGTTGCTTACATGCGGGAACTTCCCATAGTGGGGTGTGTAACAGCAGAGCCCTTTTAGGGTACTGTTTTAAAGACATATCCTTTGTGTCTAGTTTTCTGGATTAGCAAGGCATGTCAATGGTAGCTCCTGCCAAGCAATCGTCTTAATTTGTTGTTTTTATCAATACACTATAGTTAAATATCTGAACTGTCTGTAAAAAGCTTGACATTACAATTCTGTTCCAAGTTTTGAAAAGTACCTTAAAACTGTTTTTAATGCTAGTTAATAGTCCCTTTCAGAGATGTTACTGCAGTGCATGTCTATGTTTTTTTTTAAAGGTTAAGCTCTTATCTTCTTTTCTCTCAAGCAGCAGTGAAGACTGGGAAATCATCACAGTGCCACTCAGATTTCCCATGTAAGCTCTCTTTCAGATCAGTTGACATTTTGATACCCATCTGTTCATGTAAGACTTGAGTAAGACAGACTGTGATTAGAACTGCAGTTAAACATTAACACGTGCTCGGTTAAAGATAATGCATGTTGTGAAATACATTACATCTAACTTTTTTTTTTATTCGTATGAGCTTAACATGCAGAAGTTACATAGTCATATTGTCACAGTCAGGTGCCTCAGCCAGTCGCGGCTGGCATCATCCGAATCGGTGAAGTTGCCGGGGCACCTGAAGCGAGGGCAGGAGTATAGAATGTAGTCGGCTGTCTATGTCCAGCACATAAGAAATGTATAATATTTCAAGAAAGTAAATCTGTGTGTGTTGTTGCTTTGCATAGTAATGTGAAATACTATTTCCTAAATGGTCTAAAAGGCTGAAAACAAAGCGGACAGTTACATTTTTTTAGTTCTTAAAAAGGCATAAAACCTTAGGTATTGGAAATACTGTTTGTTTACTGACAGCAGCTTTTTGCAGCAAAAAAGTTGCACTTCCTTTTCTGAACGGAAAATGATTTTTTCACAGCCCACAGCCACAAGACCTCCTCCTCCTCCAATGAGCCAGAGTACCTGTGCAAATGGATGGGGCTTCCTTATGTGGAGTGTAGCTGGGAAGATGGAGCCCTTATTGGAAAAAAGTTCCAGCATTGTATAGACAGCTTTAACAGCAGGAACAGCTGCAAAACTATCCCTTCTAAAGACTGCAAAGTGAGTGAAAGGTCCTGAATATATAGTTTAAGGTTGGTTGCTTTTCAGACTTGTTATATCCAATCCCAGTCACTGAATTACTAGGGTTGGTGTCATGTCCATAATGGCGTGCTGGTATTCCAGTACACTGGCATCCATTTAAGCTTGAATGCTTAATGACCATTTTTTGCCACATTGTCTAACAATTTCCAATCATAGTCTGTGTGCAGTTTAAAGATTAACCCAGGGCAGGAGAGAGACAGAGCAAGACTAGGTACAGACCAAATGAAAACTCTAGAGCCACCTGTGTGTTGCAAATAGCAATCCAGTTGCTTTTGTTGGCAAGAGTTCTCTTCCTTGTGTCAGTATATGCTAACCATCAAGCAAGGAGTTTTGAATTTTTCGATTGGATGGCCCAAGCCAAAGTGGCCTTGTCTTATGTTTTGCTCACTAGATGGAGGAAAAATTATCTGAACTTGCTATATAATATTTTTATCTTCCTTCAACACTACCTTTGCAAAACATCATCCTTATTATGTAACTTCCATGCATAATACCATCGCACTATATGCAGTTAATACAAAGGGTTTACATTTCTAATCCAGGTGTTGAAACAGAGGCCACGGTTTGTTACATTGAAGAAGCAGCCATCCTACATCGGAGGAGAGAACCTGGAGCTTAGAGATTACCAGTTAGATGGGTTGAACTGGCTGGCTCACTCGTGGTGCAGGTAAAAAAAAAACCAATAAGTTTTAAGTTTGCTTACTATCATGGCTCCTCAGATTGCTTTGTAAACGTGAGAGCATTGTCACAGTCTTTTGCTGATACCCTATAAGCTGTCAGTGGGCCGTTCTGGTGTTAAACAGGCTTTATGAAGTAAGGCTTAATGCTGTACATTCCAGGGCACAGAATAAAGAGGGGCAGCTGTGTTTGCTTTTCAGTGCCTTGCGTTATGTTGCTTTCACTCTGTATTCTTTTTGTGAAGCATTGTACATTACACTTGTAATCCCTGCCTTGTGTAAAGAAATCTGATAAATGCACACATGATATATTTTGACTGTTTTCCTCATTTTTGTGTTGTTTTAGAGGCTTTGTTTTAAATGTTTTTTTTCACCATTTTCTTTGATTGCCTAGATTCACGTCTGGGTAAAAGATTGTTGCAAGTATCAGTAATTGTGTAAGGACACAGTCGCATGCCTGAGAGGAACTAAAACATTTAATCTAATCTGAAAGGGCTCGGACCAGGATATGATTTTTTCTCTGATTTCCAGGTGCAACAGTGTGATCCTGGCTGATGAGATGGGGCTGGGGAAAACGATTCAGACCATCTCCTTCCTGTCCTACCTGTTCCACCAGCACCAGCTGTATGGTCCCTTCCTGCTGGTGGTGCCTCTGTCCACCCTGACCTCCTGGCAGAGGGAGTTTGACATCTGGGCGCCGGACATGAATGTAGTGGTGTACCTCGGGGATGTCATGAGCAGGAAAACGGTACGACTCTGCCTGGGCTTGTTCTTCCAGTACGCCGGCTGCAGTCTACTGCTGTTTTCGTTTCTGTTTTAGAACACAGCCAATATTTTCTGGCCTCACTGGTGACAGTGTGACTTAGACTTGATATATATCTCAGCCATGCCTAAGAATTTACTGCACCCTTTTGGTAGGCATAAACAGGTAAAAGGTTTCTTTATATATCTCTATATATCTCTTGTTGATTTTTTTCTATTCAGATCCGTGACTATGAATGGATACACCCGCAGACAAAGAGACTGAGGTTCAATGCACTTTTAACCACGTATGAAATTCTACTGAAGGACAAGGTATGTCACAACACCTGGTAGATTGCCACTGAAATCAGCTAAGCGCAGTGCTGCCTGGCACAGTCTGTGGTGCTCTTTTCCCACAGCTTTTGGTGAATTCCTGTGTATTTTTCAGCCTGCTATGATATAGAAGGGACAGTGTAAACCATCCCACAAAACAACTTTAAATTTCCATTGAGAGGTTAACTATGTGAAGAAAACAGACCTGGTGGTATTCCTCCGCAGGCTGTGCTGGGTAGCATAAACTGGGCCTTCCTGGGAGTTGATGAAGCCCACAGACTGAAGAATGACGACTCCCTGCTGTACAAAACCTTGATCGACTTCCGGTCCAACCATCGGCTTCTCATCACAGGGACGCCGCTGCAGAACTCGTTAAAGGAGCTCTGGTCACTGCTGCACTTTCTCATGCCTGAAAAGTAAGTCTTCATTAGCTGATGGAGCCTGTTTCTGAGTTTGCAAGTGAGAAACCGGAGCCCAGTTCCTTAAATAAGAAATGAAGAGAAGTCTGGGAAGAGGTGAGGTAAAAGCTTAGGATATAATGTCAACTGAAAGCTGGTGTTTTCAGAAATAAAACATCCTATTGAGGCAAAGTGTTTTTTTCTGAAACTCCCTTCAAGGTTACTTTTCTTTGCGTTTCACAAGGATTTACAGGATTTCAGCTGGAAATGGAAACTCAGTGCTCTGTAAACTTAAACAGGCTTCTGTCCTGAAAGAATGGATCGCTCAGAAACTCGGTTAGGAGATGGGTCAGGATGGCAAGCTCGAGGTTTTCCCCAGCTGATTTTTTCTTGTTTTGCTGCCAGGTTTGATTCGTGGGAGGACTTTGAGGATGAGCATGGAAAAGGGAGGGATAATGGCTACCAGAGTCTCCACAAAGTCCTGGAGCCTTTCCTCTTGCGCCGGGTCAAGAAGGACGTGGAGAAGTCCTTACCGGCGAAGGTGGAGCAGATCCTGAGGGTGGAGATGTCAGCCCAGCAGAAGCAGTATTACAAGTATGGCTTGCTCTGGCCGAAGAGTGGTTTTCATGCCTGCCACTGCCCATAATGCTACGTGGAGTTAATGATCTTTTTACCCCCCCCCACCCTTCCTGTGTGTCATTGGCTTTGACAGGTGGATCCTGACCAGGAATTACAGGGCTCTCTCCAAAGGCGCGAGGGGCAGCACGTCGGGTTTCCTGAACATCGTCATGGAGCTGAAGAAGTGCTGTAACCACTGCTACCTGATCAGGCAGCAGGAAGACGAATATACATCCCAGCAGGAACGTCTGCAGGTAGGGTTGTCGCCTTCTTTTTCTCCCCTTAGTGATTCTATGAGTTTCTAATATCTTGAATAGCCTGTGCCTAAGTTTGGAGCCGGATCGCCCTGACCTCGAGTTTGTTTCTCTCTGCCGCTCAGTGCCTGGTCCGCTGCAGCGGGAAGCTGGTGCTCCTTGACAAGCTCCTGACGAGGCTGCGGGAGAGAGGCAACCGCGTCCTCATCTTCTCCCAGATGGTTCGGATGCTGGACATCTTGGCAGAGTACCTGGCCATCAAGCACTACCCCTTCCAGGTACGAAGAGTTCCTGTCCCCAGGGGGCAGGCGTTGTGAGAGGATGGGGATCAGACACCTTCAGGAAGGGAGGCTTGGGGACAAGATGATCAGTGAATGCACACGAGACTTAAAAGTGGTGTGCTTGTTTTGGGTATTTTAGAAATCAATTTCTTTATTATAACAGTTAGATATGTCTGGAGCTAGGTCATTTAGTATCAAGCTTCAAGTTAGGTGGATAAATGTTTTTTGCAGCGTGTTATGGAAATCATTTCCTTTCAGGACTTTGGTGTTTCTATATATATATAAACTATTTTATTGTCATATAATGTATGTATGTACGTTTCACTTCGTTAGAAGCAGGACATGGATATTTTCAAAGCAGCAGTAGATTTGTCATGTAATTTCTATTAGATCAATTCTTCAGATGTTCCCTGAAGTACCAAAGCTATCACATGTCAGAGTTGGTTGCTGTACAAGCATGCTTGTTGGAGTTAGAGTGATAGTCTCTGTGGTTATTTTTACTCTGAGGTTATTTTTAATAGGAACTGGCTGGGTACTAGAAGACTGCAGCTTGTTATTTCAGAAAATTGAATAGCAGGAGTTAGGAACTTGTTGTTGCAAAAGCTTTGAAAATAATTAGCCAGTATAAAAAAAAAAGCTTTCAGGGGGTATATGTTAAACAGAAGTTTAGAGATGTATTGTTTTGTGCATTAGCAGGTGATTTAAAAACAGAAAAGCTGCCACAGGTTCAATGTAAGGAAGCAGAGAAGTGAGTGCGAATCCTGGCTTGTTTTGTTTCAGCGCCTAGATGGGTCGATAAAAGGAGAAATCCGAAAACAAGCACTTGATCACTTTAATGCTGAAGGCTCGGAGGTATGTATGCAGTTTGCTGGGGTAGATCTTTCAGCTGTCTAAGAGGGGTTACAGTGACTTGCATTTTATAACTACTCTGGGCAGACAAGACGTGATTTACTAAATGCAAGAAAAAAAGGCACTGTAAAATGTAAATATTAAATTTCTTTTCAGGGTGTACATTGCCTTGAATGCTGTAATGCAAGGCTAATGTAAACATGCCATTAGAAATCCTCAGCTAATACAAATTGTGCATTAAATGAAGAGTAGGGTCAACTCAGAACAACGCTTAATATATATGGTTATGTAAATTCATTTTGACAATCACATATTTCTAATATTTCTAATTAATAACGTGATACAACATTATCTTAAGAATTAATGTACAAAATAAATGTAAACATTTTCATTATTGCATAAGGTTTGTGAAGGTTCATATGAACAGATATGAAATATATGAAAGAGAAACCAACATTTTAAGTGCAAGGTATCGCAGATTATAAAGAGTGAATCCATAAGGCAGAGTCTCTTTTATTCAGCGCTCAAGAGCATGCCACAGAATATTTAATTCACTCAGAGGAGATGCTCGGTCGATAGGAAGAATGCAGTGTTAGGGAAAGTGTGCCGTTTGTAATTCAGTTTTGAAAGGTGGATTGAATCAGTGTCTTAGATAATAAACTTGCGGTATGGAATTAGCAGACTCCCCCTTCTTCCACAGGACTTCTGCTTCCTGTTGTCCACTCGAGCTGGTGGCCTGGGCATTAACCTGGCCTCTGCTGACACCGTGGTCATCTTTGACTCTGACTGGAACCCCCAGAACGACCTGCAGGCTCAGGCCCGGGCGCACAGGATCGGCCAGAAGAAACAGGTACCGCCTGGCTTCCTTTCCCTTCCACTTTGCCGGGTGATTCCCATTGCACACAGCTGTGTGTGGCTGCTGCAGCCCAGCTTCACCAGGTGCTGTTGCCCCCTGGTCGGTACTGAAGGAGATGCGAATGCTCAGAACTGTATCTATTTCTAGGTAAATATTTATCGGCTGGTAACGAAGGGGACAGTAGAGGAAGACATCATTGAAAGAGCCAAGAAAAAGATGGTTTTAGACCATCTGGTCATCCAAAGAATGGACACTACTGGACGCACGGTGTTGGACAACAACTCGGGAAATTCAAAGTAAGAGAAGGATCCATCTGTATAGTTTATATTCGTTGCTGTCAAAAGCTTGACTCCTACTTTTGTAGATAAATGTTGCTTGGGTGTCTTATTCTGGGGATGAGCGATGAAACAGCAGTCCCACCTCTGTCTCAGCTGCATTCATTGTTTGCCTGATGTGACCTAATGTGTTCAGAGGTGTGAGAGCAGTTCAGACAGCTATAGGAAGCAGCAGGCTAAGAAGCAAGTATGGGGAGAGATCTGGTTGTGTTTTCTAAATTTCTTGGCAGTGGTTAGATCTGGTATCATTAAAGCCAAGGACTGAGGGCATGAAACCAGTTTTAGCAAGGTAAAATCAAGTGGATAGAATAATTAAAAAATAAAATTAGTCTGAGAAAGTGAGCTATGCCAAAGTGAAAGAGATGACACAGGACCTTGGTTGAAAACTGTTATCTTAATGGACTTCCTAACTATCAGTTGGAACTGTTTTTATGATCTGAAATTCCAGAAAATCTAAAGGTTTGTCATGTCTTCATTTTACAGTTCAAATCCATTTAACAAGGAAGAGCTGAATGCCATTTTGAAATTTGGAGCACAGGATCTTTTCAAGGAGCCAGAGGGGGAAGAGTCTGAGCCACAGGTGGGTTTGTCTCTATATGCTACTACAACCACCATGCTAAACCACGTATGGAGGCTTACTGAAGGCCACACAAGAAATTTGGGTGCTACGTGCCACTATGGGTTTTAACCGATCAGCTAGTATTGAAATGTGTATTATTATTATTATTATTATTATTTTTAAATTTCTGAACAGTTCTTAACAATCTGACTTTCAGGAAATGGACATAGAGGAGATCTTGCGCTTGGCTGAGACCAGAGAGAGTGACCAAGCAGTGAATGCCACAGATGAGCTGCTCTCACAGTTTAAGGTATTAAAGAAAATAAGGTGGATAAGCTTCTGTGCAGTAGATTTTTCCCGACAAATCATAACCAGGCACGATTCATGGAAATCGGCTGCGTAGCTGCGTTATACTATACTGTTTGAGAATGTTAATTTTGCATCAGTGTTTTAAGGCTAAGCTAATTTTCTTTCGAATTTCCAATTAAATCTCAACCACAGTATAAAGCTTAATAAAGATTATGGTGTGGCATATTTTAGAGGTATTAAATTAAATTTTTCTGACACCTGAAGAAGACTCAAGAGCTGAAGCATTGTTTCTTCTTTTTTCTTTTCTGTGTGGATTTAACCTCTGCTTGTTTAATGTAGTTGCTAGATTAAAAATTGCAAAGCTCTGGTTGTTAAAGCTCTGTTTTTCTTTTTTGTTAACTTGGCCCTGGTCTGCCATCTTTTCCTCAGGTGGCCAATTTTTCCACAATGGAAGAGACGGCCCCTGAGCTGGAGGAGAAGCCCTCCACAGACTGGGACGACATCATCCCCGAGGACCAGAGGCGCAAGATGGAGGAGGAGCAGAAGCAGAAGGAAATAGACATGTACATGCTGCCCAGGAGCCGGAGCTCCACCAAGAAGGTGAGCAGGAAGTGCCAGGTGCTGCTGCTGCTGACTGTGGTCAGTAGGATTCCACACAGATGGCATTGCCAGCCGGGGCTTAAGGCTAGGCCCTTACAGTCCTAATGGCTTGGACAGCCAGAGTTTATGGGAGTTTCTGTGGCCTTAAGTGAAGAGGGAGTCAAACACTAACCCTCGAACCCAGCTGGGTTGCTAGTCCATTGCAGGTTAGCCTTCAGCTGGTGGATTAAAGCAGTCAGTAGTTTGCTGAAGGGCACTACAGAAGTGTTATGGGGTGCTGAACGCATAGTCTTTCAGCAATGCCTCTAGAGCCATAACCACTGCTTAGGTACTGCTGGGAGGGTCTTTGTAAATTTTGTATAAAGTATTTTAAAAGGTGGACATACAGAACTGGTTTGAACTGGAGTGGAAGAATGCTGGACTCAAGGGCTGCTATGTAATTATATACTGTGTTATATTGGAACACGTGTACGAGTAACCAGTTGTGTTAAAAGAAGTTATCTCTGGCAAATAGGGAAGGGGAAGATGAGCGTGATCCTGGATCCTGCTGCCAGTCTGATCAGCAGAGATAACAGAAAATTATTTAAGGACTGTTTAATCGCTTTGAGAAAAATGCCCCGAGCATCTCTGTGTGTTTCTCTCCCATGCACGTGAAATAAATAGTTCTTTTAACTTCTGAGACAGACTCCTGACTGTCTTTTAAAGGGAAGCAGAAACATTTCTCCAACAGTACCTACCTAACTCATGCCAGTAGTAGTATTAAAAGGAAGCATACACAATAATTCTCTAAATTACAAGTATGTTAATGAAGACGGGCTGTGACAGTTACCTCTAATTTTTTTTAAAGTTTCATGTGACACATAGGACAAGTATGGGTCTCGTCTTCTCAGACTGTTGTTTATCATCACATGACGGTGAGGCTCTTAGTGTGCTTGATTACTTCACCCTGTGCCTGGGAAGGAGTTTAAAAGTCGTACATTTATCATCATTAAACTTGCCCACTGCTGTGATTTGTTTTAGGCTCAAGCGAACGACAGCGATTCTGACATCGGTACCAAGCTGAAACAAAGGTCTTCTGGATCAGAGAGCGAAACGGACGACAGCGACGATGACAAACGGCCGAAGAGGAGGGGCAGACCCCGCGCCCGGAAGAACAACGTGGAGGGGTTCACGGACACCGAGATCCGCAGGTGCGGGCCGCGCGCCTCGCTTCTTTCGCAACGCTCGCTGAACGACGGCAGGGCGGAGTAAAGATCGAGATAGAAGTAAATGAAGAAGGAGTGTTTTACTTTTGCTTTTTCTTTGTCAGGTTCATCAAGGCTTACAAGAAATTCGGAGCTCCTCTTGAAAGGCGAGTATGGGAAATGCACAAAGCTATTTTTTTCTGGGTAATTTAACAGCTAGAATGTCATTACGTCTGGCTTTGCTTTGACATTTAGAGTAGTAGGCCCAGTTCAGCATGGAATTCTGTTTTAATTAACATGTACATTTAAATCCTAATGGGAAATACAATTTTGCCATTATTACATTTTAGCCTTTGTTTGTGTCTAATTCAAGTGACTCTCTTTCTAGACTGGAGGCCATTGCTCGTGATGCTGAGTTGGTGGACAAGTCTATTGCTGACCTGAAGCGTTTGGGGGAGCTTATTCATAACAGCTGTGCAGCAGCTGTACAGGAGCACGAAGAGCAGCTGAAGGAAAACCCTAGCGAGGGTAAGAGCCAGTCTGACTAATGAACCCTTGTCATCAAATCACATCTCGCTTTCCAGGGTTAAAGCAATCTGAAGCCTTCTGTGTTCTGCGTTGGCCAGTGTTGTCAAACCTTCTATCAAGGTGCTTCACTTAAGGAGGCAGCACTTCCTCTCAGGTAGGCCAGGACTACTCACCTGTAGAGAGCAGTGTGGAGTAATGGTCAGGATTCTGGACTCATAACTGATTTTGGGTTCAAATCCCAGGGCTAACACTGCTGCTGTACTTTTGAGCCAATTTAAGATTAGTTACTAGGTTATTAGCTTTGGAATATACAGTACCGAAGAATATTTTGATCATTTACCAGGCTTTCCTGACTGAAGATATTTTTTTAAATGTACATAACTATCATTCTAGTTTTTTAAATGTCTTTCTTTGGAACAGATTAACGTCTAAAGATTTTTCATCCTCTTTTGACTTCACATTATATTTTAACTGCGGTATAAGCATGTATTTCCATCTTTCCGTAGCTAAAGGCCCAGGGAAGCGGAGGGGTATTACCATTAAAATTTCAGGAGTCCAGGTCAATGCCAAATCCATCATTCAGCATGAGGAGGAGTTTGAGCCATTGCACAAAGCCATACCTGCTGAACCCGAGGAAAGGAAAAAGTAAGACATTCATCTTTCATTTAAGATTAATTCCATTGTAATCTTTCTGAAGAATCTCTGACGACCTGTTGGTGACCCATAATTTACAGAAAATGTGTTGGTTCATCTTGGTGGTAGGTTTTTTAAACTTCATGGCATTCGAGAAAGAATATTGCAGTCTTTAATCTTTGCTTTCCCACATCTTTTACCACTGGTAACTGAATAGAAGTGAATAGAAAATAGGTTTTGGGAGTGTACCTGCAGGATATGAGGCTAGGGTACACAAGGACACAAGAAGAAAACCTTTGACCTATCTTGTTTGTTTGGTTACTAGTGGCATAATGATCCAGGCCTTCCATCAACCTGTTTCTTAAAGAATCTCGCAGAGTCAGCTAGAGCACCAACCACAGTCTCCTGCTTTCTGTCCATGATTTTCCTCATGTTTCAGTGTCTCCTCTATTTGCAAGGATTTTGCATTGCTGCCGGTCTTGATCTGGTTCAATTCAGTGCGTTTGGGGATTTTGATAGCACTGGGATTGTTCCTGCTCTAGGTTTCAGCTGACGTGTCGTGTCAAGGCGTCCCACTTTGATGTGGAGTGGGGTGTGGAGGAGGACACTCAGCTTTTACTGGGCATTTATGAGCACGGTTACAGCAACTGGGATCTCATCAAGACCGACCCAGATCTCAAGCTGTCCAGTAAGGTATGTGAGGCTTTTCATTACAAAATAAATTATTTTTTACGCCATTCCCAATTGGCTAACAAGTAATGGAAGATAATTAAGGGAGTCAAAGGACTCTGTTACGATAGTTAATCAAGAATTGTGCCAAGGATATCTGCTTGATTTTCTTAAATGTCCAGGAGATGTATTGTACATGGATTTTTTTTTTAATATACATTAAGTGTATTACACCTACGTGCTGTCATATTTTTAAGTTCTAGAAAACAGTTTGAATTTCAGATAGAGTATAGCAATCAGAATTTCTTCCTGAACTACACTGGCGGCCTTACATTTTTCAATGATGTTTCTTTTTCAATGTTTAGATTCTTCCAGATGATCCTGAAAAGAAGCCACAAGGAAAGCAGCTGCAGTCAAGGGCCGATTACCTCCTCAAGCTGCTGAAGAAGGAGCTGGAGAACAAGGATGCTTCCAAAGCAGGGGAGGAGGTGAGGAATGACTGCTCTGACCTCATTTGGTGTTGGCGAGCGGGGCCGCCCCAGTTCCCTTCCCTGGGAGGCCCCGCGATTCTGACTTCGCAGGTTCGGGCCTCGGGTGTCACGAGTTCGAGCCTGGGCCCTGGCACTAGCTGTGGGTTTCTCAAGTGGCAGTGCGCAGCTGGCTCACTGCGGCCGAGAGTAGGGTAGGGACAGCTCTCGTTGTCACGGGGGGGCCCTGTGGCCCCCTGGGCGCTGGCGGAGAGGGCGCAGCGAGCGGCTCGAACATGGTGGGTCAGAGGAGTCCGTCTGCACTTTTCCATTCTTCCCCTTGTGAGGGTGCTGGGTTCAAGTGAAAAACACACGTCAGGAGGCTATAGCATAATAATAATAATGGGTAATTTCCATTAATAAACTTGACATTTAAACTTCCTTCAGGTATACAGTGTGTGAAAAAAATTAAAGACTTGTTTAAAATTGTTAGTAAAACAAGTAGCATTATTTCTGGTATCAATTCCTGCTGAAGAGTTAAAAAAATCCCTAACATCTTGGAAGGAGCTACAGCTGAAACATTTTCAGTTTTTTTTTTGCTTTTCAGCACGAAATTGCCTTCTGCTGTGCTTTGCACCTTGCAGGCTCTAACCTCTTCCACCTTATTTGGAATAATCCTTTTTTTGTCTCATAAACAGAACCAGATGAAAAAAATAGAAAAGGTTATATTTGGAAAGGGTCAAGCTGTCAGCCCAGCAGAAATGACGTAGGTGTTCATGAATACCAGGGGTGTTCAGTACTGGTCCTGGAGGGCAGCTGTGTCTCCACGCTGCCATTCCGGCTCCAAAAGTTACTGATTTAACCGCTTAACTACAGTTAAACAGCTTTTCCATATTATTAAAGTGTTAGTGTTTTCAAGAGACCAATAAAACCTGCTGGGCTATAGTGTTGCTGGGAGTTAGGTCATGTAAACGATGGGTAGAATTATTAGTGCTGCGTGAACTGGTTTGTTACAGCGCTCCTGATACTAGATTTTCTGTGTTAATCTCAATAGCAGGCCTGACTAGCTGCCATCGTGGTAAAAGACTCAATAATCGGTTTCTGCCTCAGATGTAACGACCCTGAGTGAATGCATCTCACAAGATAAAGTCTTACGGAGTTTTGTATATATTTTTTATTTTTTAGACCAATACAAATTTCATAAACAGGAACTTCTGTATGCACTAAGACTAATGGAAAGTTTTTTTTCCCCCTCTAGACCGTTACTAACGGCCGCTAACATGCTTTTCCCACCAGGCCAAAGTAAAGAAGAGGAAGCCAAGGGTGAAGAAGGAGAACAAGGCCCCCAAAGATGAGCATGGAAATGAAATCTCCTCACCTCGGCTCTCTGACAACCCGTCTGAGGAGGGGGAGGTCAAGGTGCGTCAGAGCAGACAGCGGTGGAGTTACAGCTCAGCGTGGCTCATGGGGACAGTGATAACTTTGGGGACGCAAAGTTAGAAGGAAGTCTAGAGCTGTACAGCAGAGATGAATAAACAGTGTTGAGCTCTCCTCTGGCCTCTCGGTGGGTCGTGTTTCGGGACCTGACCTGTACTGTGTGCGTGTAGTGATGTCGTTTTCATTCTGCTAGGATGATGGCACTGAAAAGACCGCTTCAAAGAAGAAGCAGAAGAAGAAAGATAATAAAGAAAACAAAGAAAAACAGGGAACTCCCAAAAAAGAAAAGGATGGGGACAAAGACAAAAAACGCTCGAAGCCGAAAAAAGAAAAGGTAGTTTTTTGGTGATTTTTTTCTTGTATGCTGTCAATAGGCACATATCAAACACAGGTGCATCATCATACTTAATGAAGAATATATTTACAAAGTGGTAGTTGTACCTCCTGCTGCCAGCCTTCAGTTATCGTTCAGCCAGCAGTGAATTGTTCTGTGACCTCCCCCCATTTCCTTCATTCAGACCAAGTCAGGAGTGAAAGGGAAGAAGTCTCAGGGGCCTGTGCACATCACTGCGGGCAACGAGCCTGTGCCCATTGGGGAGGAGGATGACGAGCTGGACCAGGAGACCTTCAGCATTGTGAGTACCTCTCCTCTCGGCCAGCATGGTCTCAGTGCTTGGGTGGAGGTTCACAAGACAGCAACCTGCATGGCTAATGCAGAGGACGTCCTGGACAGTTCTACTGCACTAAGGCTGTTTCTTACTACCGCAGGGAGAAATGGAGCAGTTTGATCAAATGAGTTAAGAGGCACGCTTACAGCAAACAGGCTTAAGATGATGATGAGAGAAACATGAGCAGCCTTGCCCTTTGCAGCTGAATTGTTCTTACCATAGGTTAGCTTCTAGTTCCCTGCTCGTTTCGGGGTGACTCGCAGTGCAAACCATTTAGGACGCGCTGTGCCTCTGCCTGCCTCTTCGCAGTGTAAGGAGCGAATGCGGCCGGTGAAGAAGGCCCTGAAACAGCTGGACAAGCCTGACGAGGGCCTGTCTGTTCAGGAGCAGCTCCAGCACACACGCACCTGCCTGCTGAAGATCGGAGACCGCATCACAGAATGCCTTAAAGCTTACACCGACCCAGAGCACGTGAAGACGTGGAGGAGGTGAGGCTTAATCCAGCTGCTATTACAAGCAAAAGGGGTATTTTGAGGATGGAGAACCATGATACACCATAGAGCCTTGCGTTAGATGGAAAGTGTCCTATTACGGTTTGTAAATTTGTTAGTGAATACTTTTATTGTGCTCCAATACTGTGACTCAAACAGAATGATTAAAGAGCAGTAATGATCCAAATGTAGTGCCATAAACATGTCCTGTACTCAGTAGTTTGGAACTGTGTTTGGCTACCCCTGTTTTATAATGCTGAGGTAATGATGGCTGGTTTTGCTTAGGCATTGGAGTCATATTTTATTTTCCACAGTCCCATGAGTCACAGCACATCGGATTTCATTGTGTAACTTTGAATGATCCGCACTTTTCTCATTCACTGTGGCTCTATTGCTATTGTGTGCAAATCTTTACTGTGTCACTTCTTTCTCTAATTTGCAGTCTTAACAACCCATTCTAGTGTATTATTGCATTGAGTGGATTTTCTTCCACAGTGAGGTCTTTGGTCTAGTTTCTGCTTGCAGATGCACACTTTTGGACTTCTCTGAATCAGTGAGGAGGACTCAGTAGGTCTCTGCATCGCAGGACATTGTAGGCTCAGTTTTACAGTCTTCACTAATGGGTCTCCTCGATGTGGATTGCAGGAACCTGTGGATTTTTGTGTCTAAGTTCACTGAGTTTGATGCCAGGAAGCTTCACAAGCTCTACAAGATGGCGCAGAAGAAACGATCGCAGGAGGAAGAGGTGAGACAAGATGCAGCCAAATTTGCTAGTCTCTTCTTTTTTTTGGGTTTCCATCTGTTTCTTACGTGCACATCTATGCCGTGAAGTATAGTTAAAACCGATGAGAGGGGAGAAAAGCCACCTGGTCTGACTCTCCTGCCTCTGTTCCTTTCCCGCTCTCTGCTTGCATCAGAAGGAGCAGAAGAAAAAGGAAGACTCCTCGAGCAGTAAAAAGCCCTTCAGGCCGGAGCCCTCTAGCTCCAGCCGGGACTCCATGGGCTCCCAGCCCTCCCAGAAGCAGCACCTGGCTCTGTCCCACCCGTCTCTGCAGCCCCCCCTTCACGGGCACCACCGGGACCCCTACAACCCGCCCAGCAAGAGGCACTTCGGAAGCGCAGGTGATTCGCCCGTTCTCACAGGGCATCTGCAACCTCTGAATTTGAGAGAGGATTGTAGTTTGTTTTTAATCTCAAGCCTGTGGTATGCTTCATTCCAAGAATGATCACCTTTCATGTTAATCCTTCACCAGCTCTCCTTTGTTGAACAGTGGTGATTCTGAATTGTTTACTGGTCCTCGAATTGCAGAGTTACAGGGGCAGCGTAGCAAAGTGGGTAAATCTCTGATCTGGAAACTGGTGGGTTTTAGGTTCTAAATACTCTGCCCCACCTGGTGTCTGATCGCAGACCAGCATCGCTGAGTCACTATGACGGACCAGCATCCTGTCCGGCAAGGGGGGTCCGCTCTCAGGGTAAGCTCTGGCCCCGTGAGCTGATGTAGTCGGGACATCGCCTGCCTCATCTGGAGAAGAGTAACGCACTCTGTTATCCGGAATGGTTGCACGTGACTAGAAATGGCAGGAGCAGGGATTCTCCTCTGGTTCCAAAGCAGCTGGAACGCTGGCAGTCAGATCTTGGTTTTGTTCAACAGACCGGGGAGACTGGCAGCGAGATCGGAAGTACAGCTACCCTGGAAACAGCAACCCGTCGTGGTCGGGCGACCGGCATCACCCCTACGACCAGCATCGCTACAAGGATCACCACTATGGGGACCGGCGCCCTCACGGGGACCCCTACAGGAGCTCCGGTAGCTACCGCATGGGGGGCTCCCCTCGCAAGCGGCCGTACGAGCAGTATGGCAACGACCGCGACCACAGGGGGCACCGGGACTATTATGACAGGTGAGTGAGCGGTGGAGCAGCCATTTTTAAAAGGTTTATTTTTTCCTGTGTAATGATAGGAGCTGATCGTCAGTAGTCCTTGGTTGCTGCTGTCATTCTGCGATGTGTCCTGAGCTCTGCGGAGCACGAGCAGACCAGCCTGCCTGGGCTCAACAAGCCTGTTGCTTTTGTCAAGTATTTGTGAGGGATATTTAAATCTGTGGTCCTCCTGTCTTGGGAGTGAAGACCAATCTCACTTAAAAACAGCTGGGCAGAAGGCTTTCCATATTGACAGTCATGCACGTCTGTACAAAAACGACACCTTTTTGTACACGGAAATGTCAAAAACGGTAAGGTTAGGCAGCTGGGTCTGTTCTGTGTTTGCCGATTTATTCTGTATTTTTCATGTCTATGTCGTTGTTAAAGCTTTTCATGGTAATGTGTATTACTGAAATGCTCAGGTGCAAAAATTTGTGAAGGACGGCTGTAACTTTTCCAAATTTGTAATCGGTCTTTGTTCTTGTGATTATTTGGGATCTTGGGGGTTCTACCGAGTTGCTTGTGAACTCTTGCAAGGGCAGGTCAGACAGATGGAAAAAGAGAACATTTTGCCCGGTTGTTGCCGCCTTGAAATTCGGAGTCTGTATCTCTCTGGAACTGGCTGAGTCCATGTCATGGTAGTGGCTCTGACAGTGCAAAAGTAGATTTGCTTGGAAAAGGGAGCTGTAACTGCAGGGCTGTTTTGTTGCAGGCATCCTGACCCAAAGCGAAGGCGCTCGGATGAATTTCGGCCCCAGAACTACCACCAGGCCGGTGGCCACCCGCAGGACTTCAGAAGGATGCCTGACCACAGGGCTCAGGGCAATCACGGTGCCGGGGTGCCCGACCACTACCGCCCCTTCCACCCTGACAAGCCTCCTCACATCACCTCCGCCCTGATGGACCCCCGCTCCCCTCCGTCCCAGAAATCTCCACACGACTCGCGCTCGCCGCCCGAAAGGACCGGAGACCAGAAAAACACCCCTGATTTCAGCTGGAATGCCAGAAAGACATAAAGAGGGCTGCGGGATTGACTAAACTTAAGGAACTGAAACAGCATAATGGAGGGAAAGATACATGCTGCTAAGTTTAATGCCAGTCACGGTTTGACTTTCAAATCAGACTTTCCTTTGCTGTGGAGCGGTCAGCTTCCTTTGCTGACCTGAGAGACAGACACAACCATTGTTCTTTACCAGCAAACACCCCCCCTTAAGTTTTCAACGCTTTCAGATAACAGTAACTGGGTACGTGACGGGCACAGACGAAGCTTAAGAGGGGGATGTTTAAACAGCCTGTGCCTGGGTTCAGTCACTGGCTTGTGCTGCTTACTGCGCAGCAGATCAAAAACTCTTACCATGGTCAGGAACATCTTAAAGACGCAAGCTCTGTGTATTTGCTAAGACCAAGAAGGATGGCAACGTGTGGTTAGGCCCATGGACTGTTCGGGAGATGGTGGATTTGCCTTTATTCGTGGGCTGGGTGCAGAATATGAAAGTGCCTCAAGCTCTTGGCTCTCGACTTTTAGATGGCGTTAGGTTGGACGTCACTGCTGTCTTTCTTATACAGTTAACAGGTTTCCTAGAGCTGTTTTCTTGTGTTTCTTTTCCATACATGTTATGTAAATGATCAGGCTTGGAGGCACCAAATTGTTTGTCCAGCCTTCCAGTATAGGTGTTTGTAATGTTGAGGTCAGCTGAATGGGGAAGGAAAAGATTGGGAACTCGTTACAGTTTGATTTAAGGATGTGTTGAAGAAGTACGTATACAGAATGTATAAGTATGTGTTTTGCTAAAGGCAGATGCAGTGTTTTTCATTTCATACATACTGTTTACGATATGCACCTTATTTATAGACTAGTGAGGAAAAATATTGATCGACAAAAGTTGTAATATGCACTGCCTCTGTCCTTTATTTCAAGAAAAAAAAAATCATTTTCTTTTTATTTAATTATCTGAGTTACTTTCCATCCTCTGGAAAGTGACTTTTTCCTATGGCTGACCTCAGAACTCTTACGCATTTTCTGCACTTTCTTGTTATTAAGCTACTATTTCTTCATTCTGATCAATTTAGAAATTCAATGTTGTAAGCCCAAGCTTGTTAATGAACGTTAAGTTTAACAAGCATATACTAACTAACCAGTATTTGTGGTTAACGCAGACCAGTTACCAGAAAGTAATAGACACTATAAATCTGAAGAGAACTTATTTCAGGACCAGTTACAATATTTTTTTAAAAAAAGATCTCGCACTATAATGTTTGGTGTATATATTATATATACACTCACAAGAGCGCATTTATTATAAAATAACAGACAATGCTCTTCTGCATTCTACTGATAAGCTGTTTTTATACCCAGTTAATTTCTCAGGTATGTAAAAGATGAGCCATTATGATATCTTTGCATACCGTGGTCAAAAGAACCAAGGTACTTTGTTCAGTTCCTCTCACACGAGTGAGCACAGTGTTTGTTACATTGGTATGTAACATGGTTGTAATTTAACTATTGCAGGTATTTCTGTAAAGTATCAACTCACAAAGCATTAGAATTTAAAATCATCCTCAAGGTGAGGGATATTTTGAGATTTACAGAACTTAATCGTAATGCTATTAAAAAAAACATTTGATCTTCCAAGAAAAAGTAACAAGATTGCCATTTTGTTTGTGCTGGCTGCATTTTTCAGTATTGAAAATCAAACAACCTGGTCAAAGCTTGGATGAAGCACAGATAGGAAAAGTTGTTCTGAAGTTGAGGTGAAAGGAATAGGCAATTGCTAACCTTAAGTAAATTGAAGTGCCATATTACATACAGCCCTGACCAGGTTATGTGTTGCGTGTTTGAAGTTGTAGTGTGCTTTTCCAGCTGTGCCTTATATCCTGTGGTATATTGTCTTTAGTGTGTTCTAATCATATAGTCACAATACAGAAATGATACAATATGTATAGTCGTGGTAACATTTTCATTCATATGGAAACATTTTCGACAACGGCTATGTGACAAACTTCAAAGGATTAAGCAAAACCTTGTAGATACCACCTTGTTTCTGCAGTTTTCCAAAGATTTAGGAATGGAGAGTCTTGAACATGAATTCTACAGGATAGCTCTTCCCAGACCTGGTAAAAACTCTTGCATTTGCACAGAAGAATCAGCATACTACATCTTCTCGGCAGAAGATCATGGGAAAATCCTATTGTAGGAAATGAAAACAAGTCTTTGCCAATAGATCCTTCTTTCTTATTTTTTTCTTTTCCAGAATTACACAGATGTGTATTATTCTTTAAAATATCTTTGAAGAAGATAAAATAATTTATATTTGTGAAAAGGCCACTGTTCAAGTGAGTTTTGCTGTAAATATGTTGTTTATAGTCCTATATGTATTAAATTTTCCTACATTGTAAATCATTGTCCTTTGATTTATTAAAAAGAGTTCTTGGGATTTTGTTTTCTAAAGATGTGTTACTGCAAGTGTGTATTTTTTGCATTCTTGTCAACTGTTTAAAGGCAGCAAATTGTGTTTGTATGATTTTCTAATGAATGTTAATTCACAAACATTTTTAGTTTAATTAGTACATTTTCTGTTAAATCTCCAAGACTGCTTATTTTGCCTTACATTTCTGTTTAATGGCAGAGGTTTAGATGAAGAAATACCTTGAGGAAAGAACCACTATATATTTTTTTTTATTTTAACACTATAAAAGAAAATGTGTTTAAAAGTATTCAGGAATGTCCTTTGATTGCGAGATGTGCAGTGGATTTGTGGCAGGCAGGACGCAGGGTGAGCTGGGGGTGTTTTCTGAGTTTCAGGAGGGGATCTGGCTGAACTGTCTTCACCTGTTCCCCTGAAGACACTGGTATACATCACTCCTGTAGATGGAATATAGGGCCCTGCATGGGAATACATGATGTGTATCTTGTAATTCAAAGGAAAATGTTGTCACATTGACCTTAATGCCTACCTATAATACTTAGACTGTAGTAACCAGGCTTATAAGTCATCAGTGGCCTGTAGATCAGACAGACTAAGAGAGCTCTGTTCCTTGGGGGGTGAAAAACACTTAAGCTCTTGATCTCTAAATGATTTCATTTAACAAATGTACCTGATGAGAAGTGGATTTTATCGGAGGTTTCCATTCCTGGTTTTGTGGATAGCTATCAAATACAGAAGTGTTTTAAAAAATGTGAAAAACTATCAACATGATCAGTCGTTCATGGTGATGAGGTAGTATAGAGTTATTTTAGGATCCAAGTCCATTTGCTCTTTAGCACTCGAGAATCATAGTTCTCTTAGCTGAACATGTACCTCATTCATTGGAGTGGCCCGTCTCTGGAAAAGAAGGCCTGGAAGACGGGACTGTTCACGCGAGTGACACGGAAGTGAGGTTCTTGACCACTTTTCTTTTCAAGATCGCTGTGCGCGTCCTTCCCTTCGTCCGCTAGAGGGCACTACAACGCATCATTGATGTTTTCCTTTAAATAATACCAAGCTTTCAGACCATTAATAATAATAATAGTTGCTTTCACTTATATGGCGCCTTTTTGGACACTCCTCTCAAATCGCTTTACAGGTATGGGGATCCACTACACCCCCACCAGTATGCAGCCCCACCTGGATGATGCGACGGCAGCCAAAGTGCACCAGTACACTCCCCACAGGCCAGCTTTCACTGGGGAGGAGAGCAGAGTGATAAAGCCAGTTCATAGATGGGGATAATTAGGAGGCTGTAATTGCTAAATGCCATGGGGGAATTAGCCTGGGTAACACCCCCACTTTTCCAGAAATGCCCTGGGATTTTAAATGATCTCATCCAAAGCATGGCACCATTTTTACAGCATAGTGTCCCCGTCACTATAGTGGAATATTAGGTCCCACACAGACAGCAGGGTGAGCGCCCCCTACTGGCTCCACTAGCAGCGGCCTTGGCTTTCCCAGGAGTCTCCCATCCAGGTACTAGCCAGGCTCACACCTGTTGAGCTTCAGCGGGCTGCCGCTCGTGAGTCGTAGGGTGATACAGCTGCTGGTTGCAATGATTTTAACTAGGCATATATAATCATTTTCTCTTGTAGTTTGAGCAATGTGTCAGAGAAAAGCCAGGGAGTTGACGTTCTTTTCTTCAGTCAGAGGCGCTACATCCGAATTGTTCAAATGTTAAATATTTAAAAGGTTCAGGGAAACAAAAACAGACTGGATAGCGACCAATGACCGTGACAAATAGCCTTCGCAAAGCTGGGTGGTAGGCGCAAAAGGATTGTTTTTACAATTTTAAATTAGCTCTGCAGGAAACCATACTAATGTTTACCAAAGCAAACAATAGAGCCTAACTTGCTTTGAATTAAGAAGTATAACATCAGCGCTTAATTATACCGGTAACGGTAACGCATTGTAAAAATAGTGCAATGTCTAAAAATGGACACACGAGGGCAGGATTCAACAACATTTTGATTGTTTCTTCTGCAATGCTACAACACTTCAATGTATTAGTTTTCCAATTCTTACTTTGTAATAGGACTCATTCATAGCAATAATTACATATTTAGCAATTGAATAATCTAGATAAAAAGTAAATCCCAAGAATTTCTGATTAAACCCTACATTTTCTGAAACATATAGGTCAGGGAGCTCCAAACTTGGAGATCCCCAATCAGGCAGGGTGTGTAGACACTGAATTGTCAGTTTCTAAGGAATGGAACAGTTCTGTTAAACATTGGATTGTTAAATTTAGTGATTTAAACATCTTTTAGATATAAACCTGAGTACTCTTCAGGCCTCAAGGGCTTTTAAACCCAGTGAATTTTAAGACTAACTGGATTGGGGCATTTCAGAACCAGGGTTAGAGACCCCTGAGATAGAACTTTATAATACTGGTTTCTTTAAAACATAATCCGTATGTGCATTGCTCTCCTGTGCCTTCAATCTGATGGGCAAAGCATTTAATGTAAGTTATGGAGTTTCTCAGAAAATGATGAACATATGCTAGTCACCATTGGGTTGCAGTTTGGTAGCACAATAACCTGACAATAAAGAGTTTCATCATTGGAACTCTTAAAAAATATTAGTTTTATATGACTTTAATAAAGGGTATTATTGGACTTTAAATTAAAGGTTCCACTTGACATATTCTAAGGAATGGTTGTTACAAATATAGAATTTCTATTTTAATCTTTAAAAATTGAAAATTCAGAACAGCTTCAACTAGGTTCATCACTAGCAAATTGACAGACATACTTTTTTATTTGTTGCGTATGAATGAAATAATCCAGTCTCGACACCATTTTTTTAAAAATATGGATTAACTGTGTTTGCTTTTATGTTCCTATTTATTTTTTTTAATAAGCATAACTTACATCTAAATATCGACAAGAGTATGCGAAATGTCTCAGAACCTTTATGTATTGTATTGAAAATCAAATGTATTGATTAGAATATGTATCTCAATTTTCAAAAAAGAAAAATTGAACAACAGTAGTTCAAAAATTGTGCAGACTGGTTAAAGGAAGCAAGCATTTACAGGATTCTAAATGTGTAAAGTGGTTTTCAGTCTCCCGAAACAAACTAGACAAAGAAAATGTAAGCATTATTTTCAAGATAAATTGTAAATTCACTAAATGCATGTTTTCAGCATTTGTAAGTGATTCGGAATCTGATTTGATCAAGCAAATTAGCATTTTCAAAAGCTTTTCCATATCTCAATTTTATGCATAGGAATTATTGTACTGTATTCACGTAGTTTTTATTGCTGTTTAATGTAAAATATCTTGAGATGGTGTTACGAAAGGTGCTATATACTGTACACAATGACAAATCCCGATATTCTACTACTTATCCAATAATGAACACGTCGTTTTGCTCTTCATCAGGAACTGGGATCAGGTTGTTTTTTTTTTCTTGCTCCTCATGCATGTCACGATTTTCAACTTCTGCCAAGCGTTAACCACACTCCTAAAAAATGCCCCATCTCATCCAGCTTTTATAATCTCTATCTGCTCCACTACAGACTTGCTAATATCCCTCCGTACCTGCACAAGAATGCGTCAGCTACAGTACACACTATCCGCTCTGGAAACCTAATTCTTCAGATTGAGGATCAAAACTTCAGGCTCGTTGTTACGTAAAAATCTGACCCTCTGATCTGCCATTCCTTTAGCCCGGCAGCCATCGAAGGGCCATCTGAATCACTGCGAGAGCCAAGGAGCCGGACCCGATGGACCGAGCCCGTCGTCTTAGCGCCTGCAATGCGCCGTGAAAAGACTTTTAGGATATCTGGATCTTTCATTTCCACACTTGAGAGACTGCGCTCCTTCTTAATGTCTACTGGGAGCAGCAGGTGTTGCTCGCCGCGCAGTAATAATTGGAAAGCCAGAATAAGAGAAAAGCTTCGCTGAGATTTTATCATCAGCTGGGAAACGAGTGCGACACGGTTGCTAAGAGACCTGGGGGGTCTGCTGAGAGTATGTTGTTTACTGGTGGAGCGGCCCTCTCGGACTCCAGGGAGGGACCTGTGCGCTGCTTTGTCTGAGAATAACACAAGCTCAGCCTCCGAAAAGAAAGGCTATGCTGTCGGCATCTTTCTCCTTCCACCACCCAAAAACCAAGGCAAAAGAAAAATCCCTTCATATTTGCTCCATAAAATAACTTTTCTAAACTGCAGAAGATAACAGAAAAGTAGCAGCAACTGCTCTAAGTACAGTCACATATAGTAGTTGTAAAGTAGGATAAGAGGAAAAACTTTTTCACCCAAGTTGTTTCTTCGGCATATTCTCCTTGGCTGCTTTTTCAAGTCTTTTCAATGGGGACTTTTTCATTTTCCCAAGCTTTAGAGAACACCAAAATGCTCTCACTGTTCTGACAACCCCCCACCAAGAAAAGAAAGAAGCATCAAATACAAGAGGCAGGTGTCCAAAAACCAAAGAAACAAAACAAACTTTAATTTTCTCAATAAATAATTTACACTATGTACAGGCGGTGACAAACCGCTTTTGTCCTACAAACAGAGTTTGATCTTTCAGGTATCTCCCTCCCCCCCCATCTGCTTTTCATTGGCTAGATTTCATTCCCTTTCCTTGACATGTCAGGCCCATGGCCTCTATTCACAATCAAGTTCCAATCAAACTACAGCTAAGTAAAAGAAAAAAATTAAAGTGCTTTTTTAAAACAATAAAAACAGGAGTATCACAGTATTGTTGGACCAAACATTTCAGTAATACAGCTGGGTTTACTCATTTTTCCCCACTAAGAGATGTTTTATTTTGCTTCGCTTTAGTGAAATAAAATTAGTTAAGCATCTAGGAAGATTCTGAAACCTCGTCTGATATCTAGTTATGATTGACAGTGGTTTAAGAAAATAGTTGTTTTAGAGTCAAAACAAAAATCGGTCACAAATAACTTGTTTTGTTCCTGAAAAAGAAACCAAACACTAATCAATGAGCAGAGAAGAAGTTTCTGGAATCAGGCTTTCCTCATTCAGAAAGTCTAGACCTCGGACTGGACTAGGAGGTGTGCTAGGTCTCTCAGTACTGTGATATATCTGTTTCTTTACATCCCCCTTTTTCAAAAATTAAAAAGGTCACATTCACCAAACTCCCCTCCCTCCCTCATAAAGGAAAGTGTTGTAGAATCAAAATTTTAACACAACAGGTAAACACAGTATTTAACAACCAAACAACTTACAGCTTTATGTACAATCACACGTGTTCAACATGGAGAACCATTTATCATATAGACAATATAAATTACATCCAGTAACACAAAATTTAATGATACAATCACCTTTCTTTTCTGTTATTTTAAAAGCAAGGCTGTTGTACAGAGTGTACCAGTTCCCTCCTCCATAGCAATAATGAGGCACCACTCAGACTGCTGTGTGAGGCAGAATTCCCTTACAGAATGTCTGAGGCTAGGAAATAACGTGGCTTTAGCTTCAAGCCAGGTAATTAAATGGCTAAATCAATGAATGTCCAATTCCACAAGCAATGGATTACCACTGCAGTCTTTTACACATGCACTCTATGTAACAGCACAACTGCTGGTAAAGGTGAAAAGATATATGATGTTATTCAAAGAGTTGCTAAAGATGTGTGGATTTGGGATTCAGTGCATTGAAAACTCAAAGGATCGTGAGGTGCAATTTGACGGTGCTTAGCAGACAGGCTGAAACAGATCAATGACAAATATGACGAGCGGATCGTTACACCAAAAAAAGGAATGCTATTAAAATGCAGATGTTTTGCCTCTGCAAGACTGCTAGCTATAATAACAGAGAAAATGGCAAAATTAGTAAATAATAATAATAACTGCTTACAGTTATATAGCACTTTTCTGGACACTCCACTCAAAGCGTTTTACAGGTAATGGGGATCACCTCCACCACCACCAATGTGCAGCCCCACCTGGATGATGCGACGGTAGCCATAGTGCGCCAGAACGCTCACCACACATCAGCTATTAGTGGGGAGGAGAGCAGAGTAATGAAGCCAATTCATAGATGGGGATTATTAGGAGGCCATGACTGGTAAGGGCCAATGGGAAATGAGAACACATTTGGACCTTCTCAAGGCTGACACACTGGACATTAATTGGGAAGGTGCAGGGGTGTCCTAAAAGTTCAAATCTGTCCTGAATATCAGCAAAAGAGCCACAGGCAAAACAGTCTGACTTGTTAGCACGATTGATGATTAAGAAAGTCATACAGCTTTTATTGCAAAAACATTCTTAAGATGTACACAACCTAAAGCAGTCAGCTCTGTGATGCCTTTTTGAACAGGCCTTATTACTGCTATGGAGGTTTAAACGTGGGCATAACTTGGTGCTTAGATCCACACATGCCCACCTCCCCTTGGTACAAAGAGACACATATGCTTCATAGCAGCATTAAATTACGATGATAGAACCACTGGAACACAATGCAATGATGCCACAATCGCCACAAGTGTCTGAGCTGCAAGCTGGACAGCAGTGCCCGGGCTTCAGGAGGTGTCATTGCGCTTCTGTACATGGCAGCACAGACAACTGAAAGCAATGAGTGAAGCCAACTGAAGAACACCTAGACCCCTCCCGCATATCCCCCCACCCCAACACTTCCACCCCCACTAATTATCTTTAGCAGCATCGTTAAGCACTTCGTACAGTCGGGGGCTCTGTTCAGTCCCAGGTGCCTTCGCTAACCACGAAACTCTCCCGAGAAGAGGGCTGAGCTATTTGGAAGCAGGTGGCACAGGGTGCTGCTCTCCGTCAGTGGTCTTAGCTGTGAGCGAGCAGGTCAAGAGAGAGAGCTGCATTCAAGTGAGCTCTATAGAGTTGCTGTGTCCCTTAGTTTCAGCCCTGATATAATGTCCTCAGGGGTTGTGGGGATGACAGCAGGATGTTTCAGGTTCACAAGAGGAGTAACTCGATTGCCTATTTCAGTCTTTGGCAACAAACTACTTTTGTACTGATATTTTTTGAGGGCTACCTTGATTTAAAACAATTAATTTTTTTTTTTTTTAAATGTGCTCTTCCCTGAATTTTTCATCCCATTAGAAAAAAGGTTTTTTTTAGATCACATATTAAGTGAGATAATTTGTATCCTTAGACTAGGCCAAGTCATCTTCTTGGAAGCAAAACATTAAGTGCTTTAGCTCCAGTGAGCAAAGAACATAATTCTATCCTCCTTTTATTTTTTCTTAAAAACTGTTCTGTATTATGTGCTGATAAAGGTTTAAGTGTAACAGGCAATTATTTTCTCAGGGTTAATAAATATCAAAGATTGTTTGGAACACAGTATAAGAGTCCTGCTTTTACAGGAATTTCCTATGACATTTTACCCTATCAGTTACATTTGATCACAGAGTGAAGGACTGTAGGCGTATGCATTACAAAACTGTCACAAATCTGAATTCAACTTCTTCTCTTCATACTTTCTAGTTTGTAAAGGGCACTCTCTCCTTCCACAAGCACTCAGTCCTATTTATGACCTAAATTAAGTCTGACACTCATAAATCTAAAAAGCCTGCTGTTTATGTGTAACACCACAGTTGCAGGAGATGTAATGAAGTGAGCTCTCACATCAGGATTGGCAGACAGCAAAACAGGAAGTTCTCCTGCTCGGCTGCCAGTGCACTCCTGAGTAAACCACTTGGCAGGCCAACGAAACACTCACTGACCCTGGGCCACCAAACCCCAGCTAAATTAGAACCTTGGGGGCAATTTCTATTTGTTATAAAAACACTTCCCTTTAGCTATTCCTACAAATAATACTGCAACACTTTACGGATATCGGAGAACCGTACAGTGCAGCAAGTTACGACCAATAAATTCCCACTGTGGACAACCCAGCTAGCTTATCTGATCGCTGCTCGGTGGTGGACTTTCTCCTAGAACTCGTGTCTTCAGAGTTCAGAAGCCTGTCACAATGGGAGATCTGACTGCCATTCTTTTGGCTGGAAGTTCGCACGATTCCAACAGTAATTCCCTTTCAAGCTCCGCAAGACCAGAGTGGATATAAATCCTGCATTTCTTATGACACGCGAAACACAATTTTTTGTTATTTTATGAGCATCGCCAGTTCATTTCACGCTTAACGCGAGTTGTAACCAATGACTCCAGGGTTCCTCTTCGTAACTTTTAACGAGACAACCACCATTATTCCTCGATGCCAGTTTGATGATCACCTCTCACAATCCATGGATGATGATGGTTAAATGACAATGGTCTGATGGCTACCATGAGTCCAACACACACATCTGCTCGTGTGGTTTTCATCTGCCTCCCCCATGCAACAGATACCACTGAGGAGTGGCTGTCCTGGTCTGCAAGTGGGCCACGGATGTTTGAAACACAAAATCGTATCTATGGAGTGAGCTGAGGTACGATGGTATGAAAAAGAGTTTCTCGTGGCTGCAATCTGTAACATGCACTGGGTATGACGCCATAAAAAACAACTATAGATGCACTGAGCTGCACTGAATCCACAACAGCAAAGCTAAAAAGTTAAGGAGACAGAGCGATAAAGAACAGGGTTTCCTCGCGGCTGAATTACTCTCATTCACCTCTAAGGTCCTGTCAAAGATGTGAAACTTGTCTTTGTTCGAATGGAGCATTTTGACGTCCTCAAAGGCGTAGTAGGCTGCCATGGTGAAGTTGACGTCACCGGTGGTCAGGAGGTCGAAGACGCAGGACTGGAAGTACAGGTCTTCCACCGGGAGCCTCTCCTTGCACTTGGCCGTGGCCGACTGGTACGTGAAGCCCTGCGCTGGCACGGGCGCCCTACCGCCGCCACCGCCGCCGCCGCCGCCGGGGCCCTCGGCCGCCCGGGCCCTGAAGGTCCTGAAGTCAATGCGCTGGTTGAGGGGGCAGCCGTGCAGGCAGAGGTACAGGTCCTGATTGTCCTTGTCCTCCACGGAGTTCACCACCTCCTCGGGCATCCGGACGGCGAACGTCAGGTAGCGGCCGACCTGCCGGACCACGATGGTGGTGCCGATGTAGCGCGCCTGGATCTCCACGTGCTGCCCGGGCACCTTGTCCACGATGCGCAGGGTGTTTGCCCCGTGCCGGTCGCCTCCGTTCTTGGAGCCGTCGGCGAACGCGGCGGGCAGCTCGTCCGTCTCGGCGTGGTACATCTTCTGATCGACGCACTCCTGGAAGTTCTTGAAGATGATGGTTAGCTGTTTCAAAAGAGGAAGGGGAAAAAAAATCAATGAAGCGCTAGCAAAACAAAGGGAATGCAAGATCAAGCCACTCATCCCCCTATCCTCCAGTGCCATAAAGAGCCGGATTGACCACTGGATTTATTAATGCCCATCTCACACGGCTTACAGGGGGTTCATTTCCCTGAGAAAGGCAGGGAGGGGAAGGTGCTGAGCTCGTTAAAAGTGGATGAGTTTTTTTTTATGTGACCAGGACAGTTCTCAAACAGCAGTTGTTTCCTGAATTTAATGAGAGAGGAAAAAGAGCCACACAATTTATCACCGAGAATGATTGCTTGAAACAAGAAAGAATGCTTAACCTCAGGAGTCACCGGCAGACTAATGAAACAGACCTGCCTAGACTAGCGCCCCACTTCAGTCAGCTTTTATGGCTGTCTTAAAGCGCTACCTCCACAAGTACTGTACTGTAGCTCAACCGAAAGGCTGAAACAAGACAATGCAGCTGGATGTGGGGCGACTCCCCTTGTTAAATCAAGATGCGAGCCATCATTTTTGAGTCATCTGCCACACCGAGCGAGAGTGCTTTCCCACTGTCTCTTTTAAGTCAATTTCCTTTCCAGTGCACATTTCCCGGGGGTCTTGAAAAATAAATCAAAGGAAAGTCAGACATCAGGAAGGTGGGAAAATTGACAGGAGCATAAATTAAGCCAATATCTGTGACAATTTCATCAAAGCACCACTAAAACAATTTTTTCTTGCTATAATTCTCTTTTAGCAAATACTCATAGAGTGGCGACGACTGCGAATTTCTTGGATAGGATACACCATTTTGCTAACAGATGTAACTTGTGCTGTGTAGACCCCCTAATGGTATTTAAGTGAGGGTCTAATTTTAGAAACAACTCAATTTTACAGGAGCCAAACCAAGCAAATCCACAAAACAGGGGCCAGTCATGGTAAATCAGACTGCAGTCTACAGAAACAAAGACCATTCATTCAGACATTCAAACCTGCTCGTGAACCAGACTCTACACTAGGACTACAGCCTCGCCAGCATGTGAGAGCAAGTGCCGAGGCCAACTGAATCAGGGTTTGTCAGATTTCTTGTTCTGTAATTTCATTAGTGGGGCTGTGGGCTGTTGTCATAAATGTGACCTCAGGACAGCAGCCTGGCTCTGATCTCTGCGCGGGGCAGGAGGGAGAATGTGGACCTCCTGACTGCTCTGTAATTAACCAGTCAAACATCCTGGACTCAAGAAGCTTCCCATCTTGCTTTGCAATTCATATGCCCTATATTGTAACTAATACAGACTAAACTTTTATTCTGTTGGGGGGGTGGGATTGAGTTTTGTGAAGGCTTCCCTTTCCTAAGCAGTGTCTGAATCTGATCTGCAGGGGCTCTAAAAAGACACCGAGTGGAAAGGACTGGATTAGGTGGTAACTAGGAATGAAAAGCAAGCTCTGTTTGGGGAGAACATTGCAAAAAATATATATGGGAAATGTTGAAAAACACCATTAACGGCATTCCACACTGCCTTAAAGATCTTATAATTACCAAAGTCTCCAACTGTGTTATATGCTAAAATACCAACACAATGGAAAGCAAAATAAGTGGGACAACAGTTGAGAGGGGTGCACTTTGTATTTCTACACCAAACATTTTACAAAAAGCTCTTGTGATATAATTAAAAACAATCTTTAAGTTCTGGGAAGTCACAATAGACTATTAACAGCATAACAATTACCAAAATGTTGCAGGGTGGCTTCATTTAAACTAAAGTTTCCATATGAGTTCAACATCAGTCTCCAAACCATTACCACCTTGACTGCCTCCAACGATGGAAGAAAAAACAAGAAGGATGTCTGTTGAAATTAGGATTTATTTTAAACTGTAGAAATTCTGGCATTCCACTTTGAAAGCTCATCATGTTTTCATGTGTCACAGAACCATTCCAAATGTTAAGCTAAAAGCACATGAAAAACACCACCCCAGGCTGGGCATCCTGTGGCAACCAAGGTAATAAAATCAAGTCACGACACTTTTAATGTGGCGAATACTGCGAGTCTGACTGTTTAAAGGGCTGATCTCTCGTTTCCGAGGGAGACATCCAAAAGGCACGCTCCCTCGGTTCCATTCATACAGGTCTGTGTGACTTTCAGCACGGGAAAGAGACATTTATTCACCACCTCTGCTTGCTCCTACAAGTCATTCAAGCTTTGGCTGGTGGTGGGGATCAGGGAATGCCAGCGTTTCAAGTCAAAAAGCCATAAAAATGAAACAATAACAATAGGAGGCTGTCTGTTAACATAGCTGAAAAACACGGAGCAAAAGCGAGATTAGGTTGGCTGTACTTTACTTTCTAATGTCATGGGACATGGCAGTGTAGGGGCTCAACCCTGTTCACTTAACTGCATCTCATGCCTCACCTTGCTCGTGGCCGTAGCTGAGGAGCCTGGCAGGACAGGCGTGTTAGTGACCTGCACCGACAGGTACTTGTTGTGGATCAGCGGCCACGCCCCCTCCACCTTACAAGTCTGAAAGTCATCGCTGAACGTCCGGAGGTGCGGGTCCCCGAAAAACCCACAGTGGGTGTAGTTGGGGGGCGCGGTGTGCCGGTGGAAGCTGCGCTCGTAGTGGCAGATCTCGGGGCCGTCGGAGTGCTCCTGGCTGTCGGGCGGGGGGGGCGGGGGCGTCCGGGCGCGAGGCGGGGAGGTGGGGCCTTCCTTGGAGCAGTTGTGCTGGCTCATGAGGTCCTCGATGCCGTGCTGGGCGGAGTGGTAGGCCAGGTCCCCCCGGCAGGTGCGCGCGGTGCGGCGCACGCAGGTGTTGTAGGCTCTCAGCGCCGTGCAGAACTCCTCCTCAGGGCCCGAGCTGGAGGTGGAGGCCCAGAACTCGGAGTTGCACTTCAGGATCTTACACTGCAGGCTCACTGCGAGGAGGAGAGCAGGGAGGCAGCCCCGTTAGCACGGACAAGCACGACCAAGCCCGCAGTCGCATCGCCAAGAGGCTACAGTCAAGATTACAGTACATCCAAGCTATGACCCCCAACTTAAACAATTTTAAACCATGCAACACCTAACAGAGGTGCTCTGTTGGTTAGTGGCATCCCCCCATCTACCCTATGGAAAATTTCAGACTGGCAGATGGATGAAGTCTTGATTTAATTCGAGGTTAGGATTCACTCCTTCATATTTCCGAGTCCCATGACATGCACAATGCAGAAACATTTTTCCTACAGAGCTTAACTAATATATTTGTTAATGAAGACCTCCAGGATCCAGTTTTATGTACTTTTGATTTCACAATGTTGTGTTCTTTTGAGACTTTTGATTTGACAACTGAGTAAAACGTTAATTTTACCCAGCTGAACAATTTAGTCATTCTCTGTTTCAACTGAACAAATGCCAGAATTCTTGTGTTTCTAGAGGACTGGATTGGTCATCAATAGATGAATGCAATTCCAGCCCCCTGACGAGAGTTCAGTTAAAATGTAAGGAACTTGTCCAAAGATCTGAAGTTGAGCGAATGCTGTTTTAATTTAACACAAACCACATACAGGCTAAGCATTAGGAAACACTTATGCATGTTCACATTTTTTCCACAAAAAATTACAAGAACTTAGTAATGTGCATTCTTACATACACAGTTAAACATTTCAGTTCTGCAACATTCTGGTTTAATTTAGAAATGTTGTTATACACTCTGCATTCGTGTGAATCTGTAAATGTTAACCCCAGAATGGCATTTATTAATAAACAGAAGGAGAAAACACTCCAAATCCTGAAAAAATCGACTTGATTTACAGTCACACAGCTATTGACCTAGTACAATAAGAATTTGAATTGCTTTCATTATGTAGCATGTAATGCACTTTTGGCTGGCTGTGCCTGTACGATTATCTTACTGGGAATGGCATGATTCCAGGCTTAAAAACAAAAGCCAGGATACAGCAATGTTAATGGAATAAAGGGAGAAGTTGTGATCCATAATGGAAAATCTACAAAAGCATTTTCTTGGTTGTTTCCGTTCATTAAAAGACATGAGGGCAACAGATTTGAATGTCTTTTTATCAACTATAGAAAACACAAAAACCCCCATCAAGATGATGTGTATTAGGTCTTAGATGTTTTTTTTTAATGATTGAAAAAAAGACTGCCCTTTAAACCAAGTCTTAAATTGAGTTTCCCAGTTAGGATGCAAATTCCCCAAACTGTAAAATCAGTACAGAAAATAAACAACAATGATTACCATTTATTAGAAAGAACCAGATATTGAGACACAGCCCTTTAAAAGGGCTAATCTGGGGAAATCACGCATAATAATAGGCTAGTTATTAAGGACTCCTTTGCATAACAAAGTAAGCCATTACAACCCCTTTGAATGCTCTCCAGAGGGTGTGAAGAAAGCAGGGAGAATGTCTCCTGAAAAAGAAGAAAAGTAGCTTGAAAGAATTTGGTTTGGTAGGAAGCATGGGGGGTTAGTCTTTAGGCTCTGAATGAAGACAATGTAATTTACCATTGAGAAGAGACCAACAGAGCAATAAATTACCCCAGTGTAAAGGGATTAGGTCAGATTTCACCAGCCATGCATGGGGGAGAGGAGAAAGCTGAAAGCCCTCTTAAAGAAACAGGATCCCCCTTTCTTTCCTCTGCGGTTTGAGTTCTACCTCCAGGTTCTGAGAGAGAACAGGAGAGCAGCTGTGCCACTCCATAGGTCACACTGGTTATAAGATATCTACCTGCCCACTGCACAGGCTGTAATTAAAGGAAACTTCGTTTTCAACATACATTCTCCAGGACTTAAATTACTTGACCAGAAACAGCAGTTTCTTTTGGGTGGGTAGAGAAAGGGGGAGGATGGGAGACAACATAGTTCCCATTCAACACAAATCCCTCCAAAACAAAGCAGAATTCCTGCTGCTTATTCTTTTTTGTCAGCTTTGTCAACAAAACTTCCTTCTCTCTTTCTCTTCGTCAAAACTCCTCCAAATACTACTGCCCCTTGGTCACTCTCCTTGGGACAATATGAATGCATGCTGTCTGCTAAAGTGCCTTCAAGACCAAAAATGGAATCTGGTCGATCCGATTACAGTGTTATAGTAAACATTAGATGATGGAAACTCTAATGGACTATGATTTCCTAACTGTACTGAAGTCTGGTACTAAATATGGAAGCCTGGTTAGAAATGATAAACCTAAATGAATTGTGATCTGCCGATTTAAAAATCGTACAAATATGCAAAACTCTCTCCCGTCTAATCGTTGCTGGTGCTTTCTAGTATTTCCTGTAAACGAGATTATTGCATTAAGAAACTACCAATATTGTATTTTACAGCGTGTATTTAATTCAATGACTGTTTCCCAAGGTCTGATGGGATCACAAGGTAGTTCATGAGCTGCTGTGTCTAAGGTGAGGCAACAGTGGGCTACAGCACCTCCTCGTGGTTCATGATGCTTCAGCAAGGTAATACAGGTGGAAAGCAGTAAGGGGCGGTGTCGGTGGTGGAGGATCGCATATCTGTGACAACGGCAACAACGCTCGCACTATCTGTGCAGAGGAAAGGCCTGGCAATCTACTTCCGAATCTTGCCATGAAAACTCTATGGAAAGTGACTTGGGAACTGCCCACGGGGTCACCATGAGTCAATACTGACTCCACGGCACTCAGCCAACACCACAGGTGGGAAAACTGCAGATCCACTGACGGCAAATCTGGGGAGCAAGCAGGCAGCTCAATCAAAATCAGTCCACCGAGAGCAAAGCAGGGCGTTATATACCACAGCCAGGCTGCAGAGCACGAGCCGCCCATCACACCTGCCAGCGCACATCTGTGCAAGTCCAGGGATGCCAAGAACACAGGTAAATGACAGCAGGTAAAGCAGCAGAGAAATGATCAGACTCATCCTTCACCACTGGATGAGTGTGGTCAATGTATAAAACTGAGTGCTCTGATCCAGCAGAGGAGAGTCAGCTGGTTCTGTAATGTTGTGTGGCACATTTTCCTGACATGGGCCGGCTGACCCCATTCCCTTAGGAAACAAGGTCAATGCTGACCGTACCTTAATGGTACGGATTGACCATCTTCACCTCATGTTGCTGCGTCTCGTTCCTGTTGGGAGGGGAATTTTACAGGGTGACAAAGACCCCATCCACGGCACACGTGTGGTTTGATGACCCTGACGCTGATATTTTTCCCATCTGTCATGGCCTTCTCCGTCAGCAGATCTGGCCTTAATTGAGCATTTATGAGATATTCTGAAATGATGCCTGAGAAAGTGTTTTCCCACCCCCACAAGCCAGACACGAGCCGATTGACTTTCTCGTGGAATAAGGTTGCTGCATCCCTTCTGCAGATCTCCAGAGGCTGGTAGGCTCTGCAGTACAGTGCCCTACAGGCCATAATGGCTGCAGATGGTGGCCCTACTCTCCCTTAAGTGACTATGTTCATGTTTCCATTTTTTATTCACTACCTGTATGGAATGTAACAAGGGTAACAACCAATTCATTCCATTTACAAACCTTTGTATGGGACACACTGCACATCAGTCGGTCAGAAGTACAACTTGCTTGGTAAACTCAGAAACCATTGTGGAAAGCCAGAGAAAACACCTAAAAACATTGTTACAACAGCCCAGAGCTGTGAAAGAAAAATGCAATGCAATGCTCCTGAGAGATTTGTTCAGATTAAGCTGTTCCCGACAAGCCAGTGTGAGTAGTCTGAATATCCAACTTATTTTGTTGTGGCCACCATACAGATACATACCTGTACAGACAGCAAGATGTGTCTTGTGTACAGATACATACAGACAGCAAGATGTGTCCCGATTTGTGTGGACAACTGCACAAATTGATTCACACAGTTATAGTAAAAATTGCCCAATTACATTCACCAAACCAGTCTGGGTTTATTTTAACACTAACCTCTGTGAATATTTGTAGGGCCAAGTGTAAAGAAACATGCTCTGACAAAAAAACTCTGCTCCATCAAGACTTTTACTCTTATGTGTTTTTTACCCTTTTTGTGAAAACAAAATAACTTATCTGAAAGTCATCCGTAAAACACTTTTACTATCAAACCTGATATCTGCTTATAAACCATCCGCAAGGCAGAAAACACATTACAATAAAGGTAAGCAAGGTCAGCCCTTAACCAGAATCAATCATTAAAGATAGAGATGGCAAAAAAAACAGCCTGTTCTAGACTAGATAAGCAGATTTTTTCAAAAGACTTGATGTTTTTATAGCTACAATAATCATATTGATTTTAGGCCCTAATTTGTTTAAAGAAAGCAGATATAGATTTCAGAGTAACTTCTAATTCTATGCAGTCTGCATCAAACAAACCATTCTGAAGAGCCTGGTGACAATTTGGCAGCCTGTTTGTTACAACCTTCAACTTCCTTAAAATGCATTCAAAAACTTAAAATGATATGTTCTGTGTGGTTTGAGGTTTAAGCTTATAGGGGGACATAAAGAACTTGCCTGTTCATGGGAGGAACTTGCTGAGCTAATCTTTGGGTTAATCCATCAGACACTGACTTTCAACACTGGCATCTGTTTTGTTTGGTATGTCTACACAATGTGCAGAAAAGCCACTCCATCGTCACTATCACCTTAGCCTACTTTAATTCGCCTACTCTTCTCATTTATACTTCACAAAGGCTTGCAGAAGACAGAGCAGGTTTCTGCCAAACATTTTTTCAACACCTTTGAGTTCGTGTAGAATCATGTTCAGGAGTATTTTTCAAGGTCTTGTTTTTTCCCTCCCCCTGACAATTAGCATCAGACGTCTCAAAAGACACAGAATGTGATCAACTGTCCTTCCTTGAAAAGTGGAGACTGGCCAAAGAATCTTTGATGAATTTCACTTTCCTCAAAAGGGCCATGGAATAGGAAAAAAAAATGTCCCCTGTAAGTGTTTAAAACTGTGAACAAAACTGATTATTGTGATTCATGCTATTTTAAAATAGCAGTGATACAGCAGCTACTTATCCAAGACAGCAGTAAAAAAATCGCCTCCAAGGCAGTTCATAAACTGTAGTTTGTTATATGCAATAATTATAAATGAACAGGGACATATCTACACTTCACCCCTTATAGGAAAAGTTTTCAATTCTGTAATGTAACAAGTGCAGGATAGAGCTTTAAATTTTATATGGAGTGTGGAACACCGCTAGGTTTGGAAACCTTTGGTAATTATTAAAGTTATTTACGCAGTGTTACACTGTACTGGCCGTATTCAACCGATGCAGGAGTGAAAGGGTGGCGTATAAAGAGCCGAGGGCTGGTCGTTGCTCGTCTTGCCTTTGCAGACGGAGGGAGTCCTGGCGTGACTCTAGAGCTCAGAGCGCACCCCGCCTCGCAGCTACAGTCTAAGTCATTTATCACCCAGCAGACTGTCAGCAATCAATTAGTCTTAATCTCAAATAAAAGACAGAAGAGTGACACGTACTTTTCCCCTCATTCTACATTTGAAGATAATTTTAATGTATTCATAAGAATGTTACATCGGGTGGAATACTCAGATTACCCCCGAGGTTTTATTAGTTTATACGCCGACCTTATTCTTTTCACGAAAAAGACTTGAGATTCGATAAACGCAATGAAACGGATATTAGTCTTATTTAGAAAATCATTCGAGTTTACAATGTCAAAAAAATTTGATATATTTTATATTTTAATTACGTAGTGTTCAAAAGTTATGAAGATTGGAATACTTGCTCAGAGACATACATTTTCTTCCCAGCACAAGGGAAAATGCGCAGCCCATTTTCGCATTACAGAATTACTGCATTAAGACAAAACGTTGGTATCTTAATACAGATAATTAATCAAGCAAAACGAGACATTTTTTAATTCCTACAAATAAAACACATTGTGTTTCCGAACCAGTGCGTGTATTCGGCACATAAGATCGCATTCAGTTCCGAGCGCAAGGACACAACCACAGCTGTCCGACTTCAGCAATTCCGAAACAGATTCGAGGTCTGGACAAACGCCCTAAAACCCCCAATCTTAATGCAGTCTGGCGTTGCAAGAGAAAAAATCCGACGCGCGTTTCACAAAAAGTTGAGAAAAACAGCGAGAACACCCCCCTCCGCCCCCCAAAGTTTGGAGCTCGCCTCCCCTCCCCCAAACAAAACAGGACTGGTGTGCTCCAGGAATGCGCAGACAGCACTGGGAACTGCACAGCTTCATTGGAAACAGATGACTCCCCTTCTCCCAAATTCCCACCTCCTCTTCTGTTTTGCAGAAAAGGGGTGCAAAGACAAAACATGGGAGCGAGAGGGGGTTTGGTATTTTTTTGTACAAAAAAAACGTTATTTCCCCTCCAAAACATCATTATTTTAACTTGCGAAACGACTTGCTTGTAGAATCACGGTGAGGGGAGAGGGGTCTTATTTCAAAGCTGTCCACGTTCCTCAGCCCCTCAAGTCGCAGGCCCATATATTATTGAAGGCGTTAACCATGCCCTTTCGCACATAACTACAGCACCAAAATCAATAGGGGACCTCAAGTTTTGTTCTCCTACAGAGATTTGTTTTACACCAAATTCGTCTTAAGTATCTATTCGGCCACGTAGGAGAATTTTTATGAACACGTGACATTTAAAACTATATAAAGTATAAAGTAAAAATGAAAACATAACAGAAACAATGCTTATATAACGCATGGGGGGCGGCTCGCATTTTGTTGCACAGCATCCTATCGGCTTTTTAACGTGTGGGGGACGAGTCGTTTTTGCAGCGCTACAACCTGAAATCCATCTAAATCTTAAAACGCATTAGAAGATCTACAATTTTGATTTAGAAAGCTCTTTAAAATCCGAAGAACATTCATAAAAACTTACTCGTTCAATAAACCAGATAAATGATTAAAAAAAAAACACCTAGGGATGTTGTTTCACAAGTAGTAATCGCTCTTAAAAAATACAAAAATGAGAACGAGCAAATTTCACATGTACCCAGAGCGAAACGCATACTCTTGACAGCAGAACGTTTTGCCGCTGCGTCCCGTCAGCATGGTGGCGACGCGCACGAGTCTCTGTGCGCACAGCGCCTCGGCGGGGTGCTGTGCTGAAGCTCCTAGGAAAGAGGGTTTCCGCTCTTACCTGCGGGAAAGAGGTAAAGAAACACGACGAGGATCTTGCCGACTTCTATCGCCGCAGGTCCTGCCGCTTTCCCCATAACCATCCATCCAGCTCGCGATCGCACCTCTCTCCTCTCCCTGGTCAAGGCAACAAGAGAGGCCAGTATCGAAATTAGCAGCGCGCTTGGATCATCGCTCTTGGCCGCGTAACTCCAAAGCAGAGCAGCAAAACGGCACAGGCGAGGGCTGGACAGCGGCGTGACAGCATCCCTCCGGACCAAAAAGACCAGCAATAGCAACTGAGGATTTTGCAAAACGTGAAAAGGGTTTTTTTTCCCCACCCCCGATCCTCTCAACTCAGTCCGTGATCAGCGGCTCCTGAACCAAACAGGGAAACTGACGATCGATCTCCATCTCCCAGCCCATCGGTGTCAAGAAGGTGCAGCCTACCGCCCCGTTCCCACCAATAAGAAGCCGCTGTCTGCGCCCTCAGCCCTTGTCTCGTTTCAAGTTACACCCCGACCTTGCAGATACGCAGTTTTCAACGCGCACTTTCCTACAACTCCGAGGCAGAATAGCAAGGAGTTACAGAACACAAGGGTCGACAGGTTTTATTTTAAGTATGTCTATCCAAGTGAGATGGGGGTATATAGGTGACTGGGTTAAACAGTCGTAGATGCTTTATGACATGCAATGCTACAGATACGTGGTGATGTTGTGACTTTCGTTTTTCCTAAATGAAACTTCGTTTTTCTTAAAGGAACGAAGCCCAAGACCTTCGGCATCAGCTACTCGTATCTTTTGTAAGCATTGTCCCAAACAGACGCATCGAGACGCTTTATCACAAACAACTTACATTTTGTTTTTCGAAATTATAGATGATTCTCATTGATTTTCCAGATTTTACTAAACACCGACTGGCTCTAGCGAGTAGCAGGGACAAGAGGTAACAAGCGAGCGTTAAAACCGGGGTGCAATAGACCCCAGAAACGTCTAAGCATATATTTCTGAACCTTGGAATTTACCTGGAATCGTTGCTTTGACAACGACGTGACAGTGTTGTACAAACTTTAAAATAATTTATGATAAATACCGATGGTTCAAGACACAAACATCAGTGTATTCAGTATCTCACTGATTGAGGTACCTCAATCTTTTTGCTCGAACTGCACGAGTTGAAACCCTGGTTAATCTCTTCGCGTGTGCACGCGTTTGACAGCTTTCTAAATGGAAGATTATCTGTTTCTGAGCATTGGGCCCCGCGACAACGACACCCTTTCTATCCCACAATTGACTTTAATAATATGAAGAATAGAATTTATTACTTAAAAACGAGGACAGGTTGGTAAATACGACTAGTCGAGAAGCCTGAGAACTAACATTCCCTCCGTAGGTATGCCCTCCACCCTTCCAAAAAATGTAATAACAGAATCACAACTGCATACATTTATCAAACATGGGAATACTAATCTGGTGAAAATTAATACACTGCATCGAATCAATAATGCAAACCTACATTGAGGCGGATGACAGAACGCTAGAAAATCCCTTCTATAAATTCCAGTGTGTCGTTCTATTTCTGAAGTCTGTTTTTTTCCTCTTTCTGAAACACTCAGTAGCTTCATTCTATAAAGAAAGTCGAAGTCGTTTTAATCTATTTAAATAAAATGAAAGGTTTGAGTTCCTCTGTTTATGAAGGGAATTTACATTTGAATTGAATTCATTGTAGGTCATTTTTCAGCTGGGGAATTGGATAACCTTTCGGGCTCTTCAGGAAGATCAGTCATGAAATCTATACTGTCAGCTCCAGCGCGAGCCAAGTAACACCGAAACATCCCAACGCAGTAAAAAGGAAAGGACAGGCCAGATGACGTTATATTTTGACATGCAACTGATCAGAAAGACGACAACCACATCTGTCTCTCTATATAAAATGGTTTCCAGTCACTATACATGGTTTGCGCCCTTTTATACACCAAAACATTTCAGCTGGGCCAACCAGAGAAAAGTAGCTTTTTCAGGATGCGACAGGATGGAAAGGATTTGAACACTTCGGGTTAGACGTCCGGAGTTAGGGCAAATCTGTACTCCACACTGATGCACTACTACTTGAAACGTCGAAAATGACGTTGTTACGGAAAGGTCTACAGTATATACAGTACAGTGACAGGTGTATTCTCCATTAACATATACATATAAGAAGATCTGAAACAATCTGAGACAAATACAGAAGGACACGTCAGTAAGCATGACTTCTACTTACATTTTCTAGTGAAGATACTCAAACAGTCTGGTTACATAATTCCTGCTTGTTATCTTCCATGTCTGTGCCTTTGTTTTTAGCAGGTAGACTGCGACAAATGCTTAAACATCTAAATGAAATAAGCATCATGCGGTCGATTAATCAAATATTTTAATCCAAATTACAAAGGTATTTCCTAGTATATATTAATACATGAATAAGTAAGGGATACTGTTACTGACACTGGCACACTCCTGTATTATTTGCGTCTTACTACCATTTTTCTAGAATACTGACACACCTAGAATGAGCAGGAAAACTTTTGCCAAGTGCAGCGACCAGTTATTTATATGTCTAAGAAAGTAATGACCAAGAAAAATCTTTTAAGAGAATAATATGTAAATAAAGCAGAGTTGAACGTAAACGAAAATAACCATACCAAGTCAACATAATTTTTTTAAAGAGAGAAATCATTTCATGTATATGTATATCAAATATATTATTTATCATCCAGTAAATGAAGACGAAGAAATGGAAAAATACCGAGTTTTCTTTAGCACGTGCGATGAATGTTTGCCGACATAGTTTTTAAATGTATAAGTAATTTGTTAATTACTTTTATTGTTAATTAATTTACTTACATGATTAATTACGCAGCAAAGTAGCACCGGAAAACAATACCGTGCGCAATGCATAAATTGGATACACTTTAGCGTAATCCACAGATAGAAAGCTATGATAAAAAACATGATTTAAAAAACTGTGTGGATAGAAATGATTATCTAAAATATACATTTCTGCAACAGTGCAAAAGAAAATTGCTCAACATTACATGCACGTTACAACAGAACTCGGAAGAGCCCGGACAATTCTCAATCCCCTATTCAAACGAGACAGACAAACAAAACATTCCCACCCAAAGAGATAAACAGGTATCGTTTTTTATAGGGCAATTATGTAATAATCACATTAACAACTCATCCAGGTCCTCTACAGATTTCCACCCAAAAGACTAATACCGTGTTGTCATTGATAATATCGGCATATAGTTCAGTCTGATTGAAGCTGTTAATACCCATGACAGTATCAAGACAGATCCACCCTGCTTTTTTGATGAAACGAATCAGTTCTGGAGAGATACTGTTAAGCGAAGCATCTGTGACAGCTGTATCTTCAGCAGAAGTGACATGGCGATTGTACCGACCCCATCCAGTGTTCTCTTAAAATAAAATTGTCAGCGCAATTTAAATATTGAGGAATAGCTCTCAAACGAAAAAACAACATTTCACAAATTTCCGATACTATAATTGATTATAAGGTCCCCCCAATAGGTGGCGCTTTTAGCATCTCTTTGCTGGATAAAATTCTACAACTGTTTCAGAAAATGCAACCCTACACCATGACAAATCCACATGGCATCCTGTAGCGAAAGCGAGTAGATCTCCCATTAAAATCTCAATTTGGGGAGATTGATTCCACCTCTGAGCAATTGAAATGCAATTACACCCAGAGGCAGCGCTCAGAGCGGCATCACACGAGTTTCTAACTTTCATCTCTCACCTCCAACCGCAAATATTCAGTTGTGTATGGCTTTTGGAAAAAAAGAAACCGCATTTTACTTTTTTGGAAAAATTATCTAATTATCTAAAGAAACTCTTAGCAGCGATTCCAAAGTGCTTAATATCAGTCTGGTTAATGGGGTTTGTGTCAATTGAAGCACTTTACTACAGCTACTGCTTTAAATCTTGAAATATGAAATGCATGTTCTTTTCAAAAGCGTATCAAGTAGTCAAGTTTATGTTTTTAAAATAAAAAGCTGAAAAGACAATACCGTGCATATATTTTACAGTTAAACACATCAGAATTTTCACACATAAATGCAATGCAGACTATTAGCATGAAATATTTGCCTTTAGTTACTCTGACAGTCTGTACAAAGTAGTGTAATATATTATTTAATCACACTCTCAGTGTAGTCCTAGTCAGGTCGTTTGTCTCCGGTATTTTGTTCAAATACTGCACTCTTCCACCCATTAAAATCACACGAACACCTATATTAGTATGTCACACATTCAAATAATTTAGATTAGCATGAGCCATGAACACCACAATACATGCATCAAATACTATTAATTTCAAATATCAATTTTCACGGAAAAGACGCAAAAAGATTTCAGCAATGAAGCGAGATTGAGGCATCCCCGAAAACACGCACGACACTAAAAGTAACAGCCGAATATCAGATTAAAATGTTTCACAAATGACTCTAGTTTCGCGTTTTCCACACGAAAGGCCACTGTAATATTTGACGGTTATTTTGAATGTCGTTAAATAACAGACATACGCGTGCAGGGGGTTATCTAGTGTCCGTCGGTGACATCGACCACTGGCCAGCTCTCTGACTTACCGTTGCGGCTGCATGGAGCTCTCCAGCCGGTTGTGGGACTGAGCTCAGACGCGGAACCGAAGAGAAAACGGTGCTGGCAGGAGAGAGCCACCAGTGAAGATCTTCACCAGAAAAGTCAAAATAGGTGTGCTGTAACAAATGCACAAACTCCGTTGTTCAGCCGGGTGGAAAATACCGTAACCTTCCCTGCATGGTTTCAGCAGCGCCCGTATATTCCAGCTCAGGGGTGTGAAATGAAGAGATTTCTCTCAAGATCGGTCGCCGATAGCTGTGGAAACAGATCTTGTCAACTCTGATGCTGTAGTTAAGAAATGGGCAAGCGGCAGTTTCTTCGTTGTGGGTCTTTAATGTTTATCTTTGAGCTTTTACAAACCACTGTTGTGTTTTTTTTTGTCAAATATAAGAAGTTATTTTTAGCTGTGTAGTTCGCGTTCCCCTTCTCTTCATCTGTAGCAGGGGAGACTGCTGTCGTTCCTTGACGTTGTGGTGTATTACTCTCGGGGCACCAGCGCGGTTTCTCTAGGGCTGCTGCCGCTGGCTTGTTTCTGCGCCTCGCTGTTGTGGAAATGGTTAGTTAGTGTGAGAAGCACGCGAAACGAAACGAGCTGCGCTGTTTGTCGCCTCTAGGACTGTACAGCGATTCATAAACTGCACGACAGCCAGCGTTCACCCCAGCTAGAGAGGGAGGGCAAATATGTACACCTAAAATCTCAGATGCCGACAAAACCATCATCATCCAATTCAATTTGCACATATAGCCTGAACCCGTTATCGTATATTGATAGTCATTAAATGAAATGCTGTTCTGGAACTTATAAATATGGTTTTCGAGCTCACTTTATTGCTTGGTCAAGGTGTGTCCAGAGATCTTTCGGAAATTAAAAACTTTTATTGGTGTTGCTATCGTCGTCGATAACGATAACGTCGTTATTGCAATAATTAATTCACCCATTTTTAGCAATTGCTTAGTCCAATACTGGGTCAAGATGGGTCAGAAGGTAGCCCGACCGATCACGGCCAGAAGGCAGTTTACAGCCCGGACTGGATGCCAGTCCATCGAAGGGTTTAGACACATGGGGAGCAATCTTGACATGACGGTTTTTGGGTTGTGGAGGGAGAACATACAAACTGGCTGCACTCGAACCCGGGACCGGGATTTCCGGGACAGCGGCATTAACCCCCACCATACTGCCCTGCAAAAATCTAAGTCAAACCGGTTTTAAGTGTGAGAATGAGGACTTTCTTGCAACGTTATTGAACGAGGTGAACCGCACTCGTGAGGAGAAATATCGCGGCTTATGCCCGCCGGCTGCCCAGGGCAGGGAGAAGCCAGTTGCTCCCGGCTGTGTGCGGGGTGGTATGTAGCCAACTGGTCGGTCACAGCTGGTGATCTGTCATTCGTGCTGGGAGCGCTGGCCCACCCTCCCAGCTCTCCAAGACAGTTTGCTACCTGTCTGTATCAGTCTCCCATTTGTTGGGCTTGCCTTGTTACTCACTGTAAAAGTTAGAATTGAGTGTTATGAATAATTATCGACATTAACTTCGCAATAATTTGTTTTGTCTTCTGAGTTATTTAAAGTTTTTTTTAAAAAAATCCTATTAAGATAAACCACAAAGGGGAACAGTTAGTCTATAGCGATTTTATATTACGAAGAGATTCCCGTGTCTCTTAAGAGCTAGCCTTTCAAACTACAGGTGTTTTAAACTGCGAGTTACGATCATGTTCTCGGTCAGCCTATTTTCTCATCTTTCGGTGGTGAAGCATACATAATACATTCGTGTTACAGTGTTACCGGAGAAGAGATTTTTAACGATTGACGTATTTTACTGCAGAGATCAGAAAGCCAGGCGTGAAGGCTTGTCGGTGTTTTGTTTAACTGTGGAGCCCTGGGTACTTGAATTTATATGGTTGTGGTCTTTTATCTAATATAGCCCTGAATTGTCAAATCTTAGCGAATGAGAGTAAGAAAAAAAAACACGAATCTCTGATTACTGCTCATTTACACAACACAGATTAAGATCCGCCGCATATCCCAACTCGAATTTTGTAGCTCGCTGCCTGCGTTTCACTTGAATAATCCAGATTACAGCTCTACAAATTAGAAAGAAATGGCGCGGTGCAGGTGTTTCAGATGCTATAGGAAAACCCATTCATGTGCGACTAAACCACTAGATTCCAGTATCCTTCAGAGGAAGATTTGGAACTCAATTCCAATCCTGCTAGCAAAGCCAGCCTGCATTTAGAATACGAAGCAGGAGCAAAGCGCCTTTAAAACAACCCGGGTCGCCGTGGAAACGGAAAAAAGGCAAATTAACAAAATAAAACATGAACAGTAACAGAGACAGTAAAAAAAAAATCGTTTTCAGACCTAGCTTGTAAACATCCACGGGCTCAGAATCTCTGAATGATAAAAGGAGATAGGGGCTGCACTACAAAAGGCATGCTTAAAGGGAATTCGAATCAGGTGACCTCAAGTTATATGAAGGAATATAACTTCACAGCAATTCTTGCCGTTTCAATAGGGTAAGACCATTGACGGCACTGCAAGTCAGGAAAAGGTCTTTGAAGTCAACTGAAAATCACAGGCCACCAGTGCAGCAAATTCAGGATGGTTGTTATGCACTCACATAAGGTAATTCTGGACATAAAATAAGCTTTTTAGTTTTCTTCATATTGAAGGTTGTGTGGCACTTCCAGATATTATAGATACAGATATTATGATATTAAGATAACACTTACTACACAAAGAAATCCTAAACATACATTTCAGGGACTAGGATTATTTTACAGCAGAACAGTCAAACAAATGTGTTAAAATAAGTCAACAACTATGTTACTCAAAAACACAATATTCTTTCATGCATTATAGATGGCAGGTTTATTTTGCTGTTTACCTTTTCTATTTTATGTTAAGCTTAAATCAAGCCAATGTGTTTTTGCCTTGCTTAAAAGATTTTGAGAAAACATTTTGACCAGCATTGTTTGCATTAAATGCTATTGATCTACTAACTTTTTTATTGTACAAGTAGAATGAAACTATTATGTGGCGCAATTGATTTTTATCTCTCTGTAACATTTAGTCAATCTCGCTTTTATTATTGTGACCAAAATCAATACCTTTATTTTCTTTACTAAGTCTCCTGTCTTGATTGCAGCGATACAAATGCCATAAAATTATGTTAAAGTCGAATCCACCTCATGTGCGGGATATTTGTGCTTCTGTATAACAAGTGTAGATTCAATTTTCCTTTAATGTTAAAAACCTAAATATAATACACATCCATTTTCTAACAACTTTGTCCAGTACAGTGTCGCAGGGAGCTGGAGCCTATTCTCGCAAGCAATGGGCACAAGGCAGGGCACACCCTGGACAGGACGCCAGTCCATCACAGGGCACACACAGACACAAACACGCCCTGGACAGGACGCCAGTCCATCACAGGGCACACACAGACACAGACACACCCTGGACAGGACGCCAGTCCATCACAGGGCACACACAGACACAAACACACCCTGGACAGGACGCCAGTCCACCACAGGGCACACACAGACACAAACACACCCTGGACAGGACGCCAGTCCATCACAGGGCACACACGGACACAAACACACACAGACACAGGACACCAGTCCATCACAGGGCACACACAGACACAAACACACCCTGGACAGGACGCCAGTCCATCACAAGACACACACAGACACAAACACGCCCTGGACAGGACGCCAGTCCACCACAGAACACACACAGACACAAACACGTACACACTGTGCACAGTTTTCCCAGAAGCCATTTAACCAACCCATATGCCTTTCAACAGTGCAAGAAAATTGGAGCACCAGAAGGAAACTCACACAAACATGGGTAGAACATGCAAACTCCACACAGATAGCAACCCAGGAATTGAACCCAGCGTCCCAGCACTGCAAAGGCAGCAATGCTAAACACTGTGCCACCCTATATATAATGTATTGTATATACATATATATGTTTGGGTTCCAAACCTTCACTGTGCATTACTAAACCGAACCATGACAACACCACAATATACCATTCTCATTGTTTCTAAGGAGTGTTTGTTCTAATGTGTCAAAGTATCCCATGGTCTAGTTGAGAAAGACACAGTGAAGATCTGTCAAATCCTTAGGAAGCCACAGTGTAACTATTGCACATTTACCAAGGTAAACTTTCATGTAAACTTACTGGTTGTCCTGCTTGTTGAATTGCTGCTCTAAAAAGCTCAGTCCCTGATTATTTTAAATCTTTTTTCATCTAGTGAAAAGTGAAACATAAGCAAAGATTTTCATACCCTTTGTACAATTTATGATGTACTACCTGCAAGACTGCCATAGTTCCCTATGGTAATTAATTTTATTATCACTTTAAATTGCTTTGTGTTAACTCTGGGTGCTCATTCCTACCTGTGTTGCTGCTGACGAAAACTGTACAGTAACACACTTGTGCAAGAGCTCCTTCACACCCTGGTGTGAAGAAATAATGGCTAAAAAGTGCAGCATTCTGTGTCTCAGATTCAAACACAGCTGAGAGTACGCAAGCACTGGGGTAAACAAGCAGGGTCTTCATATGTTAGCAGAAGGCCAATTGACACAGGAGAAATAAGACCTGAGCTCTGCAGACCTACCTCTCTCTTAGTAGGGGTGTGATATTCTGTGTGTGTGTTGGTGTGGGGGGGTTGGTGCAGCCGCAACATCAAAGAGACAGATAATGAGGGTCTACTGAATTGATCAAAACAGTGGCTCATAGCAAATAGCAAGGGGTGTTCTCTTCAATAAAGTGTGGACTTTTTCAATGACAGGCTCTGAAAGCACATTGCATCTCTGCCAAGTGAAATGCAAGTCCCTTTGATTTAGTTATGCTTTTAAAATAATAGAAGACAATGTGAAGTGGCCTCTGGTAAAGTTTATATTTCTAACTTCTTCTTCTGCATTGCGCACACTCGAGATCTGAAACAATGTTCCATTGCCTGAATCAAACATTACCTGAAAGAAAAGTTTGCCTCTTAAAGCTGATCCACTGAGATCTTAACAGAAATCATCTTGTCTGATATTCTGCCTTCTACAATATAAATGCTGCTATGACTCATAGGAGATTCATAGTAAAACTGCAAATCTTTGAAAATAAATAATTAGATGTGATTTAATTTAAACCCTCAACAATTTATTAATCCTAAAACTGATTAGGACTTGAGCAGATCTTTAGATAGGTTTTTGACAGGGGTTTTGTGAATGTTAACTCTGCTGCCCTTGTATCAATAAAAATAACTGAATATCTTTAAAAGAAAATCCTGGCACCCTCACAGCTGCTTATTCTATACAGTGCACTCACTGGCTCTTAAGGGATTAAAACCACTGGATCGATTTTGAGGAATGCTAAATTGTTAAAGCAATTAAATTAATACTTTGTTTACTAAAGAGTAAAATAAAACAATCCACAACCCATTTAGAAACAGTATGAGAAACACTCTCCCATTTCTAAACTGTGGTTAGAGAAGGACTAATTAAATGTGGTCTACAAGTTTTAGTAAGGTATTTGTGGTGATATGGGGTGAATTTGTGTTAAAGCAATACATATTGAATACTGCTCACAGTACAAGATCTGGAACAGATCAAAGGCACAATAGAATATTATTAAAACTATCAATTAATGTATCCTTAATCTTCTCCAAGGAACTGTTGGAAGCACCATAATAATCACAACAATGCTTTATTGAGTGAGGTAGGAAACCAAT